AATAATTATACAATTCGTTTTGTTCTACTAATAATGAGAATTGGCTTATATAATTGTTTTGCTTTATTAATATATATAGTATACTATTATATAAAATATTTCACTTTATAGTCTTTCAATAATAGTAATACAATTCTTTTTCGCTTTTGTTTATTAGTATTACAATTTATTTTTCACTATACGATTTTTCTTTTGGTAGCGATGTAATTTTTTCGTTCTATCAGATTGTTAACTACTTTTACAAACTGGAATTTATAATCTATTAGAAAGTGATACCTTATAATATAATGAAAATAATAATATTATTGATTATTATAAGAAAGGTTGAACTAGTAGAATAAAGCTTTTTTTCTACCCAAGGTTATTACTTTAGTGAGGAAACTATTTAGCACCTCTACTAATCACATACTTATATACACGTGATTCCCTTTAACCTCAACTTCTAATAAAAAATGTATTTTGATAGCAATTATCTCTTTTAATATATTAATACAAATCAACAAAAATCACTTTTAGATCTATAGTGAGTATATATTGATACAAAATATGTATTTTGATAGAAAATATTTATATCTTTTAATAAATTCTATGTCTGCGGCTATAATTATCTACTGCGTGGATTACTACTGTACTTGTGGGGGATCACAAGCAGGGAATAGGCCGGATAGTATCAGTACTACAGTTAGGGTATAGTTTGTACAGAACTGAACTCATACCACTGCCATGGTGGTATGAGGGTAGTTCTTTATAGATTTCAGTACGAACTAACTAATAAAGAACAAAGGATGTGAAAGGATACTCCGTATCCTTTCACATCCACGCTTTTCCGGCTAGTTCCCGGAAGGGGATTAGTCTCTACGCGGTGACAGTACTAGTACGAGTTATTTACACCGGATAAGAGCCATAGTCACGTGCTGATTCATCTAGCCATTTTTATACTAGCGGCCAAAGATAAACTCATTAGCGTCAAAAAAAGTTCTGGCGGAGAGACGAGAAACTCACATTTTCCAATTTTTGTAAAAAAGACTTCAGCAACATCGACAATTTCAAATATTGCCACTTTCACTTCATTTATTCTGTTGAATTTGACAGATACAATCTTAATTGAATTGTCATTAATACCTCCTCCATTTCTATCCCTTCACGGAGCAGTTCTCAGTCATGTTCTCTGCCGTTAGAAGAGGACCAGCCTTGATATCCAGATCCCTTCGCGCAGTCCCATCAACCATCCGAATTCCTTCAACCAGACCTTCAACTCTCTGTTTGAATTTACACAAAACCTCAAGACCCTCTGTTGAGTCAAGATGGTTACATGTTTCTGCAGCTTTACAATTACCAAGTGTTGCCACCAAAGAAAATGCTGTTGAGCAAGAACCTCAAGTCATTACTCGATTCGATGACCTCACCAAGTATGGCTTGGTTCACCCAAATGTTATCAACGAAATTACCAATGGCATGAAACTCGAAACCATGACTGAAGTACAAACCTTGACAATCAATCAAGCTCTGAAAGGAGCCGATATGTAAGTTGTCAAATACTCCGTTAAATTGAGGACTTGATGCTAATATTTTCCATGATAGCATTGCACAAGCACGAACTGGTACCGGAAAGACAATTGGTTTCTTACTTCCTACTATTCAAAACATTCTTGAGAAGAGTCCTGAGCTTGCATCTCGCCAACGTTCTTCCAGAGCCAAATCTTCCGACATTCGCGCACTTATTATTTCACCCACTCGTGAATTGGCAGAACAAATTGCTGTTGAAGCTGTGAAAATTACAAGAAACACAGATTTGATCGTACAGGTCGCAGTCGGAGGATCAAACAAGAGAGACATGCTTAGAAAGGTTCAACGTGAGGGTTGTCACATCCTCGTGGGAACCCCTGGAAGACTTCAAGATCTTCTAGAGGATCAATACAGCCAAGTATCTGCTCCTGGATTGACAACTTTGGTCCTTGATGAAGCGGACCGACTTCTAGATGATGGTTTCTCTAAGGATATCGAGAATATTCAAGGTTCGTTGCCAAACCGTAGAGAAGTTGACCGTCAAACACTATTGTTTTCCGCCACTGTTCCAAGAGAGGTCATGAGTCTTGTTAGACGAATGTTGAAGCCTGATCACCAGTTTGTACAAGGTGTCAAGGCAGGAGATGTTGCCACACACGAAAAGATCCCTCAGATGATTGTCGCCACACCTGGAATGGAGAACTTCATGCCAGCTCTAGTCGAGCTTTGCAAGAAGGGAATAGAAAAGGCCAACACTGCGGGTTCTTCCCCATTCAAGGCTATTGTCTACTTGAACTCAACTTCGAACGTCCAGTTGGCTGGAGAAATTTTCAAGGGCTTGGATTCAATTCAATCCCTCGAAATATCTACTATTCACGGCAAGCTCACGCAAGAAAGAAGAACCAGAGTTACAGACAGATTCCGTTTTGCCCGTTCCGCGGTCATGTTCTCGAGTGATGTCACTGCACGAGGAATGGACTTTCCAAATGTTACCCACGTCGTCCAAATTGGCCTTCCTCAGCAGAAAGATCAATACATCCATCGTGTAGGACGAACTGGAAGAGGAGGCAAAGAAGGAGAAGGATGGATCCTCTTGACTCAACCCGAGCTTCCAGCTGCTCGCCGCTTACTATCGGGCCTCCCAATCAAACCTGACAACACCCTCCAAACGGCTCTTGTCGATATGAAACAAGATGCTCAACTGCCAGCCCATGTCGCGGAAATTCTCAACGAAGTCGGTTTAGCTACAAAGAGAGTCGATCGTGAAGTCAAGGTTGAGGCTTACATGGGAGGAATTGGCCAAGCAGGTAAAGGCTCAGACTCAAAAACATTAATGACAAACTTGAACAATTGGTCCAAGTATGGTTGGGGTTGGGAGAAACCTCCTCTTATTGGTCCTGGCATGGCACAAAAATTGGGAGTATCTAAGCTTCCAGGCATGAATATTGGACACGCTAATCGCGAGGAAGGAGCTGGTGAAAGTAGTGGTGGAGGTGGCGGAGGTGGCGGAAGAGGATTTGGTAGTGGTGGTGGTGATAGAGGATTTGGTAGTGTTGGTAGTGGTGGTGATAGAGGTTTCGGTGGTGGTGATAGAAGTGGCGGAGGTGGTGGCGGTCGAGGATTTGGCGGTGGACGAGGTGGTGGTGATAGAGGTGGTGGAAGAGGATTCGGTGGTGGTGATAGAGGCGGTGGAAGAGGATTTGGTAGTAGAAATGATGGAGGTGGTGCAAGTCGAGGATTTGGTGGTGGTGATAGAGGTGGTGGAAGAGGATTCGGTGGTGGTGACAGAGGTGGTGGAAGAGGATTTGGTGGTGGTGATAGAGGAGGTTCAAGGGGAGGCTCCTCAAGGGGAGGAGGCTCAAGGCCATCTGCAAGTTTCTAAGCATGTCTTGACACTTAGCTGATCGACCGAACCGTTTGTTTGTATATCACCATTTCCTTTCCTTTTCATTTCTCTTCCTTCTCTGTTCTACTTTCCCTCATCTTGTTTCATTTGCCTTGTTATTGTTCGTCATGAACTTTGTTTGTAAACACAAGATTGCAAAAGAAGAATGCAAGATGCAAGATTCAAGATATGGAAAAGAGAGATTCCAAATTCGGATTACTGGCCTGTACGATACAGAAATCATTTCCTTTTCTTGGCTTGTTTTGTTTTGAAGAGTCATAGCAGTTAGCACTTAGCATATAGCCATGGCAAATAGGAAAGCAAAAAGTTTGGTTGGCTGCTGGAGGCAAGGCTGGATGGAGGAGCTCAGGCGTTTTTGATTTGGTTTCGACATGGATGGGGTATCGGGAGCCAATGGTGCCAATAGAGCCAATTCAAACCGTGTCAATACATTACATTACCTGAGGCTGCTTCAGCAAATGGCATATCTTTGTTGTATGCTTTGTTGTATACATTCATTCCTGCTGTGTATGATCAGGATCTGGGATCTACGATCTGGATATTTGGTTTGGATGGTATGGACGGTATGATGAGATGAGGAATGTCTATCTTTGTTGGGGATGAGAGAGAGAGAGAGATGGGGGGGGTTCTTGCTTTGATGGATGATGGATGAGATGATGTTGAAAATGTGGGAGATGGGAGATAGGCATGAGGGAGTGTGCTAGATAGCGATTGTGATAGGTAACGATAGTGATAGTGATAGGTAGCGATAGGCATAATTCTACTCTTTTAAGTTATTTTTTGGAGATTTGAGATTTGAGATTTGAAATTTGAGGTGAGGATGATGGTGAGGTGAGGTGAGGGGTGTGATGGGGCATTGGGTGTGGTGGGTGGGATGGATGAGTGGGTGATGGGTGTGGTGTGAGGGATGTGGTGTGGTGTGCAATGTGAGGTTGTGGTGGGTGTGGTGTGTTGTGTGAATACGAATACGAATATGAATATGATTTCGATGTAATAAGATGAGATTTACAAAATTTCTTTCTTATACTGAGTTAAGTTCTTGAGGTTGGGGTTGGGTTTGAGGTTTGAGATTTGAAATGATGAGGAGGTGAGGAGGTCAGGAGAGGAGAGGAGGAGGAGGAGGAGGAGGTGTGATGGTGAGGAGGTGAGGAGGTGAGGAGGTGAGGAGGTGAATAGATGTATAAATCCATATAATCTAATTCTAATTATGTATATATGTATACACGTATATGGAAATCTAAGAAGAAAAGAAATATAAAGGGGCAAAAAGAGGATGGGATGGAAAGGGGATGGAAAAGAGATAGGAATAGGAATAGGAATATGAGAGTGATACTTACTATATTTGTAGATTTTGTAGATTTTGTAGAGGTTTGAACTTTGGGGAGTTTGGAGGTTTGAGGTTGGAGGTTTGAGATAAGGAGTGAGTGAGATAAGGAGGGAGATGGAGAGTGGGGATGAGTGAGGATGGGTGAGGATGGGTGAGGATGAGAGATGGAGAGATGGAGAATAGATTTATGAAAATAAAAGAATAATAAATTTGATTATCTGAAAGCCCAGGGGGATTTAGATATATAAAGATCCTATGATGATATCATATTTCTTATTCTAATCTCCACTCGGATTTATAGACTACATTACTCTAATAGGAAACTTGGTGGGAAATTCGGGAAGGAGATTGGGAAGGGGATGAAGGGGAAAGGGAAAGGGAAAGGGGAGTATATAAATAATTTTGTAAGATTACTTGATTAGATAGATATATTCTGAAAATGAGTTAGTTGTGATAGATTATTATACGAGTAGAATGGATTAGAATGAATGGATTAGAACTTGAAAAGAAAAAGTTGATCAATTATCTTATATCTTATATCTTCTTTATATCATTTTTGGCATCCGCATCGGTCATGATATCAGATACTTGTACTTGTAGGTAGTGGTAGGTAATTAGTGATAGGTAATTAGTAATAGGGTAGAGGGGTAGGGTAGAGGGGTAGAGGGGCAGAGGGGTAGGGGACTATAGCTAGTATATACTCAGTAAAAGAATAACCTACTCGTATGATCAAGAGTAAAGTTTTAAAGTAGAGAAAAGGGAAAAGAGAGTTAGTTTATCGAGTATCTAATCTCTAACATCCAATATCCATCCAACATCTATATCCACATCCAATATCCATCTAACATCCATATCTAATCTCTAACATCCACATCTAATCTTTAATATCTAACATCCAATATCTACCATCTAATCCATATCCAACACATCCCCTGCAAAAAACCCCAAGATCGGAGAACCTTAATTAGAAATATTACTAACCCGGGCCCGCTAGGAGGATGGATATTTATATATGAAAAGTAAGTGATCTTGATCTGTACCGGTATATGAAAAGTGAGTTTTGATCTGGTAGGTCAGAATGCTTTGTTGTAGTGTGGTTTAGTTGCATATCTCATTTCTCTCATTTCCCTCCGAGGACTCCGTCTCCCATTCTTCTGTTCCCCGTCCATTCTCTCCGACTCTCAATAACCGCCTTCACCCCGTTTCCCGTCCCGTTCCCTATTCCCCTTTCCCCATCTATTCCCATCCTTATTATCCCCGTTCCTCATCCTCCCCCATCCTACCCATCTATTCTCCCTGTTCTCCGTTCCTCATTCTCCATTCCCCGTTCTCTCTTTGTCTCATTCTCCCATGCTCTGTTCTACCCATCATACTCATCCATTATCCCTATTCTCCCTGTTCCTCCCACCCATTCCCCATCCTCCAATCCGGTATCCCTGTACGCCCTACCCATTCGCTATTCTTCTATCCATTCTTTCCACTATCCCCATCCTCATTCTCATCCTCATCCCCGTTCCCCATTCCCCGTACCCCGTTCTCCATTCTCCCCAACATCTACCAAGTAATTCCCCATCAACACATTCAACACATCAACACATCAACACATCCTCTAACTTCTGAATTCTAGCTTCGTCAAAAACAAAACCTTATAACCTTACCAACAAATCAGAATCCCCAAACGTATAGAAATTGATTACATGCCACATCTAAATTCGCCCTGACTTCGGTACAATTTTTATCCTTTGCCTTTTGCCGTTGCCCTTTGCCCTTGAGGCGCCTGGATATTGGGATATTGAGATATTGAAATACCATTGGGTACGGAGATGTGAACTTGATAGTTGAATTCTAAACAGCGGGATGGAGAAGGGATTCATCCCGATAATGCATGCAGAATGGAACATTTTTGATGGTTCACACAAAACATAGAACCGGGGTCCAAGATTTCTGTACAAAATGATGATAATGCATAGTATCTCTATTAGTCTAAGTTATTGCAACTTCCGAAACACCCACTTTGTCCCCGAAATTCCATTCTCATGAATCTATAAAAAAAGCCACGCTAGATATCCTAATACGAAACAAAATATCTTTTGTATACAATTCTCGAGACATCCTATCCTATTATGATCCCCTCATTTATATCAATTACAGCAAAAGTAAACGCCATCCATGTGGTATCATATCGCTCATAAGATCATCCCCCCCCCAATTATGCATGTATGAAGGAGAAAAATCTCGGCAAACTTCACTAGAAGAAGAGAGGTTGTGAAATAGAAAGGAAAAAGAAGTAAAAGGATTATACGCCCATAACAGATCGAACATCCCAGACAAGTAATCGTTCGTCCCAAGCAGTGCTTGCGCACCAACCTTCCCCGAAAAGACACCAGTCAACACCAGTTGCAAACTCGGTGTGACGGTCCATGCGACCAAGTTGGCGGGGCATGCTGGCGTTCGAGGTACCGTCAGTCCAGACACGGCAAGTCATATCGTAGCTGGCGCTTAGAAGAGTATCGCTAAGATGAGGGCTCCATACTACCTTTCGAACAGCATATTCATGTCCTTGTAGGATCGCAATAGGACCAGCCCCCGGATTACGAATATCAAAAGTCCGAATCATTTGATCCACACCAGCTGTTGCGATAATTCCATCACGATATTTGTTCCAATCATGCGTGAGAGCTTCGGACGGAGGGAAATTTTGTCGGTTATTTCCAATTGCACCGCGGGGTCCTGCAGTTGGTGGAGGACCATGAATTGGGATGAGTGAGACCAAATGGTTGGAGGCCGATGCAGGAGTACGAAGATCAAATATTCTCAAGTGCGAATCAGAGGAGACAGAGGATATGACCGAGGGCGAATGAGGGGAGAAAGCACTACTGTATGTGCAAGAGTGGGTAGGCAATGTAAGCAGGGAGCTTGTGCGATTAGGATTCCACTGATAGCGAAAGAATTAGCATTATTCTCTATGACGTAAAGTCTCTGGAAGATATCTCCATACCAGCTTGATTGTACCATCCCAAGAGCTTGAAACAAATGTATCTTTGGATACCAGGTTCCAATGAACTGCAAAAACCTCACGACTATGCTCATGATAGTTCTCGACAGGAAATTGATTGAGCGCGGTGTCAAATAGCTTCACACTCCCATCACCACATGAGACAGCGACTTGATTTTCATTCAATTCGGACCATGCCAGATCATAGATTGAATCCTGAGTATCAAAACTGCGCGCAAGGAAAGATCGAATCAGTAAGAGCTGTATAATTGGAGAATATGAGCTTGGAATCTGAATTTACTTACGTCTTTTGTACTTGGATGCCCTGCGCAGTCAACATCAAGCTGTAAAGTCTCCCATTTCCCACCAGACCATAATTGGCAGAAGCAGCGACACAAATCCGGTCTTCGAAAAAGGGAGAATATTTGACTGCAGATCCCTTGTAGCCCTGAGTGATAAACTCCAACATTGTGGCGGTGGTTGTGGTTAAAATGTTGGGATTGTGTGCCCTATTCACGAATACTAGGTAATCGTCGCATGTATTTAGATGGAATAATAACAACCCCACCATAAATGTTGTATCTGGACCGAGGAGTTCGGCGTTTGGATGATCCGGATTTAAGGTTATATCCAGAACTAGTAAGATGAGGAACCAGTCACGTGACTGCTTCTTTTTGTACATCTTCTCATCTTCTATTTGTCAGGATAAAGCGTTTGCCATTATTTACATTGATTTACAACTGTTCAATCCAAACACGCAATAGTTACATAAGAATGAGGTATCATTGATGCGGTAAGATAGGTTTTCTCCAAAGTGTTGTGCCGTTAGTCAAGGGCTTAAAGCAGTTATTTGCTAGATCCCAATGGTTTGATTGCAGTGTGGATTTCTTTATATGCAAATCTAGAGGATTCATTTTTTATTTAATCAATTGTTTCACAGGGCAGTCACCCAAACCAAAATATGGCTCACTTCTGTAAATGGTTCGGGGGGGTCATTGGTCAAAATCGACAGTGCTTAATGGGAAAGCCCAAACACTGGCATATCTAACGCATGAATTTGATATATGGGATATTATCTTTCCGCTCTGAAGTCAGACTTGTTCTTCCTACATATCGCAAAGTTACTTGTGCGGAATCGGGATAACTCCCTACCCCAGTTCCGAAATCTGATGCAGCAGGATTGTCAATGAATCCTTCTCCTGGAGTTATCTGTGGGCGCTGGTGCGAAGGGCGCCGAAAGGAAGGAGACACGGGTAGATGCGTTCACTCCCGCAATGAAGGAGAATGGCTGTCTAGGATCAGGAAGTTTCACTACAGCTGGCTTCTTCTAGGTTCGGTGTGGAAGATCAAGGTTAGATTGAAACTATGAATTGTAAAGGTCATGATTAGACAATTTGATTGTAGGTATTTTGCGAGGCTTGAAGCATCTCCTAGACATTCTGAGGGTTGGCCCTGCTATCATGCCGTGAAGGGGCGCCGCCATTTTCACAGTCTACGAATATACATTCAAATGTCCTCTATATCTCTATCGCCAGCTCTCGCACAACTTCACGAACTCACAACTGCATTCCATCACTGCCATCAACTTGCATAGATTCACGAGTCTACTCGCAAAAGTTTACGGATCAAGCTCTTTTGCCATTACCATTCCTTGTCCACTTCATTCGTTTAATGAATTTACTAGTCACAGAAAGTGCGCTATCTACTTTCCTGCTATCACAAGGAGATTGCCATATTTATGCTTAATCACGTTCGACGATAATATGTTCCTCTTCAATTGGTATGATATGATCTCTCCAATAATATCATCTGATTGGATTTGTTGAATTGCGTATCACGTGCGTGCCTACGGTACTAAAAAGACCCCACACTTTTGGGTTTCAAATCCCATTTGATCTTGAACTCTTATTCTAAAAACAGAAGACCTCCATCCATCTTTGATAAATGTTTAGGCACTCGAATGATATCCCATTACCATCATGGATGCTTTTGTATCGAGGAAAAAGCGAAAATTGTCTATTTCTTCTCAATCGCCACAAAATCCAGACACGATCGACCATATCAATGCCTTCAGTGTTCCAGATGATGAGTCGACGGACTTCAAGCTAGCCTTGTTATCATCTTTGCATCCCAACATTGAACAACTAGTCCTTCTTGACATCTTACTCGAACATGATGGTGTAGTTGAAAAGGCTTCAGCTTCATTGTCCAATTCAGGTCCCGATCCTTTGCCACTGACTAAGAAATCATCATCCGTGGTAGGATATCAAAGCTCTCTTTCTACGTTTATCTCTAGTGAGAACTCCGCAAAGCGAGTAAAACCTATGTCTAGAAAAGGCAAAACCCTTCATTTGTATTCTCCTGAAGATGTAGCAGCTCACACTCCTTGTTCTATTGTACATAATTTCCTTCCCCCGGAAGAAGCCGATGCTTTACTTGAGGAATTATTGAAGGAAGCCCCAACATTTCAGAGGATGACATTCAAGTTATTCGATAATGTGGTTACAAGTCCTCATACAGCCTGTTTCTACGTGGGTAGTCTGGAAGAGCAAAAGGCTCAGAAGACTGAATATGTCTATAATGGTGATCTCTTAACGGTAAGTCACGCTCAACATAATCATCTGTCAACAGCTTCCAGAATATGGCTTGGTTAGGATTTTCAGATTACTGACCTGATGACTTGCAGGATGTTCGCCAGCTTACTCCACAGATGAGAATGATCTCACCCAAAGTTCAGGATGCTGTCAATTCTGAAGTCGCAACCCGGATTAGAACGCACTATCCCAACGGTCAAAAGCTCAAGTACCAGTCACTTAACACGTGGAAGCCCAACGCGGCATTTGTGAACTGCTATAATGGCGGCGCAGAGAGTGTGGGATACCATAGTGACCAGCTTACTTATCTTGGGCCACGTGCTATCATAGGGTCGATCTCTTTGGGTGTTGCTCGCGAATTTCGTGTCCGACAAATCGTCCCTCAAGAATCAGATTCGAAAGAGAAAAGCAAAGACACCTCGGATGCAGAAGGTCAAATCGCCATCCACCTCCCACATAACTCCTTGCTGGTAATGCATGCCGAAATGCAAGAAACATGGAAGCACAGTATTGCACCAGCACAAGCGATTGATCCTCATCCAGTTTCTGGGAATCGACGCATCAATATCACCTATCGGGACTACAAATCTTCATTACATCCTAAACTCACACCTAAATGCAAATGTGGAGTGCCGACTGTGCTGAGGGTTGTGCAAAAGAAAAAGGAGAATTTGGGTCGATATTTTTGGATGTGCCACGCGGGAAATGTTCCTGGGAAAGAAGGGTGTACGTACTTTGAATGGGCGGAATTTGATGAAAATGGGAACCCGGTATGGTACGACAAACTAAAAATTGAGACTGGCATCAAGAGTCATAAAGGTCAAACCGATAGCTCTTGATCTTGATCTCTAGCAATCAAGCTTCCAGCATTTCGATCATCGAGTCTCTACGTTTTACTTTCGGCAAGATAGTAATGGTGGACGAGGCACTGAAATATAGAGTTGATGATGATCTAATTGTTTATCTAGATACGAAGGAAGTTATGGCACTTATTTTGCAGCTGCAGCCAAGCGAGAAAGTCAAGATGGTACTAAATAACTCTTGCTGATCTCATTAGAGTTCAGAAGGGGTTCTTGATACCTGCCTCCTGTCATGTGCAATACATGATTCACCATGACCTTCACCATTTCACATCTACATGGATTCAATTAGTGTTCTCGAACTCGTATCACTGCTTCAATAAATCTCAGCCATATTACAACACTACTCGTCTATGAGCTTCTACTTATCTTCCTGCCCCGCTCTTGGATTGTTGGTCCAAGGAAATTCGAAAAGTGTTACACTGCCGCTGAATATTTCTCTTCTCAAAATCTTCAAAAGCATGGTTGGAAGGACCGAGGTTATATACCAAACTTCATGAGAAAATTTTACACACGAAAATTGAGCACTACCAAGTCAATTGAACTACGACCTTTCCGTCATTCACAAACACAATTATCTCACGATCCTCTTTCCAGAACTACACAAATGGCAGCAGAAGAATGCATTTCAAGAATCCGCTGCCGGCACATACGTACGACTTTAACTATGATAACATGAGCATTAGACCGCCCAGAAGACATCAGACCATTCATCGCCTGCCAGATCGTCCTTATTATCAGATCCCTGGTAATATGCACCATTTTGCGGGGAAAGTTTGGAAGACGTCTCCCACAAAGCTCACTTATTCCACACATACAAGGTTCTTGGAAATAACAGGTCTCAATGATATAAATTCGGAAATAGGCAATTGCATGGACGATGGTGAACGGAAAGGGGATGGAGCTCGTCGGGAAAGGAGTCACATCACACGTAGACAACTACAATTCAAGTTTAGTTCCCTTCCTGCCGAAATCCGGGAGATGATATACGATTATGTACTTCTTAAACCCTACCTCACCAACGAGGGATCTTGATACGGGAAACCAGTTTTCCTTGAAGCCTTGAAAATATATGGTTCAACTGAGCTAAACAACGAAGCACAGGTGGCCTTCTATTCTGTCAATGATTTTACCTTTAACATTGTACAAAACAAAAACAAGGGATTCGAAGCCGTTAATGGGGAGTTACTTGGCTGGTTCCAGACTTTGCCTTTGAGTATACCGTGAGCTGTTCTCCCACCCCCAACTCTCTATCTCTTGGCAATCAAAATAACATTGTATGACTGATATAATACGCAGTGCTCAGACCCCATTGACGTTACTTCCGACCCAACTACCGCTACTCTATTCTTCTCTACGCCATCTAACACTTCGATCACATCGTTTGGCCGGGCTTTATCTATTTATTGAAAACCATTTGCCGAAGTTCGAAACGTTATGTACTCTGAGAGTGGAGATCGGAAAGGATAGGACAAATTATCAAATGACTAGGTCTGCGGCCTACGCAGACCATTGGAAATATGTTCTGGATAAGATTATCACTGGGAATAATGGTGAGCCCGTGACGGGTGCAATGGTAGAAAGACGGATGAAAAGTCGCTGGGAGCTGGATGCTGTGATAGGTTCAGCGTGGGTTTGGAAAGTTGGAAATGCGGATGTGTACGAAGACGGGAAATTTGGGGGAAATAGAAGTGAGGTTGGAAGAAAAATGAAGAGGAAAACGTTCTTGAGTATCAAAAAGCACACTCCCATCAAGTTCTAGGATATCCTCCACGTTTTAATGTATGTATTTCTATTATTTGTTTTAGATCATCCCAGGCCAGCAGGACACAACATCTCATCAATAAATGAAGGGGTATTTACTTGACAGAAATCTTACCTCATGCGAAGTTCGACTGCTGTTTCCGACGGAAAGAACAACAATTTCGAAGAAGCCTGATTCACGATTCACCTCTTACAATACCGCAATATCAACAATAATTAGCTCGCTTATGTACGAGTACATCAAATCAACATACAACCTCTATACATAAACACTCAACTCATCTCAAACCCCATTAAGCTGCCAAACCCAGGCAAGCCTCGAGTCACATCGTATCTCCCGATCCTCTCAACTTCCATCAGAAATATCATACTGTCAGCCCGCTTACCGCCACTCAACTACGCCGACACTTCCCTAGCATCCACATCTCCACCATCCCTCTCCATTAAATCTCCCACGCCTCTCCTCTCATACCCCCCACCCCTCTCACACCCCCCACCCCTCTCATCCCTCCAATCCCCTCCCTCACCCATCCACAGCGCCGGCCCAAGCATCGAATAATTCGCCAGCGTCACATAACCTTACGGATTAAAATAAATCCCCGAATCAGTATCCTTATAAAAACTAGTAGCGAGTACACCAGTAGGATTAGCGGTTCTGGACCCGGTCACATCGATGTTGATGCAGAAAGGATAGTTTTGGGCGCCATCGAGGGTGGTGGCGCCGTGGAGTGCGATTATTTCGTGTCGGACTACGTAGTGGCCTGGAAGGTGTGGAGGGAGGGGGGATTAGTGGGGTGAAATGGGGATATGGGAGGGGGAAGATGGGAGAGGAAGAGAGGGAGAAGATGGGACAGGAAGAGGAAGAAAATGGAGAAATACCTGCAGCAAGAGTCTTAGATACAGTAACAGTCCAGGAATTATAATTCGCAATCAAATTCGCCGTAGCCCAAACCTGAGTACTAAGGTTAATACCCGCATGATCAATCTTGACAAATTTAAGATTATTTTTATTGACCTATTAATCAGGCGGGATAAATCCCAAATCTCGTGTCTCCTCGTACCATCCAGGTGTCTGCGGATAAGGCTGTTTTTTGACAATGTCGTACCAAGTAGGATACTTGCCAGCCGGGGGTGTAGATGTTGTTTGCGATGATGCCGGAGACGTAGCCGTGGGCTAGGTTGGTGGTTATGAGGGAGAAGAGGGTTTTTGTTTTTGTTAGGGGGGCATCATATCATGGGATGCTTGTGGGAGATGTGGTTGGGGTTGGGGTTGAGTTTCTGGATTTGGGAGAGTAAGAGTGAGAATGATTGAGAAAGTTTGAGGGGAATATGATATATATGAAGCTGATAAGTAAAGGATATAGTTATCTAGGTAGGAAGAATAATGACGAACATTATCGTGTGATCATGCTTGCAAATGCAATATAAACACAAGATAGCAATCAGTATATGAATAAATTGATAATCCGGGGTATTTTGGAAAATTCCCATGTGTAATATACAAATCCAATACTTATTAGTGCAAATTCTCCTAAACATGGGGAAAATAGATGAAGTGACATCGCCAAGACGGTCGTAATTGTGCAGTTTTATATTGAGGCGGAATTTCGGAACGGTGGTGCGGATGTGACTTTATATGACGGTAGTGCGTCATGTTGTCATTTGAGAGCCTTGAAGTGATGTTTGGGTGTAATGGAACTATTTTATATTGGTCTTTCATGGTGGTGGGTGAAAAGACTTCTGCGAAATGATCACGGTGTTTAGTTATTTGATGAAGATTGAAGTCAAGTGTGGTTCATTTTATTTCGAATATTGAGCAGCTCCAAAAAGGAAAGTCTTATTAAATCGATTCCATGAACCATTTAAACAGGTCAACTGTCCAAGTTTGAATTGCTTTTTCTTCTGATTATAACTTCCCTTTCTTTTCGTTCTTATTGAAACATTGAGTCTTCAAGGCTCATGCGGAAAAAGGACCTTTATCCCGGATCACTGGCAGAGGCTTCCTTCCCCCTATCACCAGTAACTACTCTTTGTAATTTAGCCGAGAATGTTCTAGTTTTCAAACACAAATATACATACATATCGGTGGGATAAAACGTAATCTGCCATTTCATCACATGCCATGACTTTGCTCTGCTGATTGCTTAGGTTGACAATAAGATCTTGGCGGCTACGACGCTGCTGGCATCATGAAATACCCCCCGATGTATTGTATGCGAGGACTTATGCCGAGACTTTATAACCACTTAAAGCAAGTTCAAATCTGAAGCTAAAGTAACCAGCTTTGTAGAATGAACCATCGCCAATCGCTAGTGAAGTACCCCAATGCCCCAACCTCGAGTCAAACACCCGGCCTTCATTATTCAGCCAATACAGGCTGTCGAGCTTGACGATCTGTTTCAGATTCCCATCTATCTTTTGGTACCGTTTTCATCTCTTCCATTCGATCTGTGTAGACTGTCCTTGATAACTCATCTACATTGTTTAGCCTCGCTGCATGTTTCTCAAGAGCATGTTCTTGATTCATTGTTTTTCATAATCGCATTGCCCTGGTGCTCCATATCTGACGCTTTCTTTTGTATATACTGTAGATATGGTAAATCTTGTTTCTGATGAGGGATTAATTGCATATAAACTTCCAAAGGCGATCGGGTTGAAAAATAATGTTATATCTTCACAGTCTTTCTCATTAACAAGTGTAATTCAGCTATATCTTTAATGGAACATCAGTCATTGTGAACGTTAAGTCGCGTTTTATAATTTGGATAGTAAGTCTCATCCGACACCCGGCCTCAAAAATAATTCAGGGGAGTGATCACGGGTCCTCGGCTATGTATTCAGTTACCCGACCCGGCATTTCTGAGTAATTATTCGACTTAGTACATAAAAAATTGGAGAGGTAAGGGAGAAGGCTTCCAAAAGTAGAGTGAAGGATCCATTGTGCGTATTGTATATCTGCATGATACGTTAGTGCAGTCTACTACCAATCCCAATGTTCCAACAGGTAAAATAAACATCGTTTTCCCATCCCGGTATCCCGGGTTTCAATTAAGTCATCATCTAATGCTATCATATAATTCACGTAATTCCTTAACACTACAGTTCTCCACCAACTCCGCCAAACTTATAAATCGCCTCGCAACATTCTCCCCAGTATCATCGTACGTACCCTTCCTTCCAAAACCCTCAATTATTTGCCCACTACTAGTCCTCCATCTCAATATCTCCACTTTTCCTTCAGATTGTCTAGTGGACCTAGGACTGCCGTCTGTGGTAGATATGCATAAACTAACTGCGTAATTTGACTGCCAGTGTAGTGTTGAGCTCCCGTGTAGTTTTTTGGAGTCGGCAGGTTGAATCGAGAAGATTGGTTTCACCACTACCCCAAGGAAAAGAATTGGTTATACACATCATTGTCTTACTGAATATGCAATGTTGACAATTTTATGAGTCTTTATGTACTTTTCAGTTCATCCACTTCTCACCAGTGGCGTACAGTATTTGTGATGTATATTATTAATACAGTTTCCTGCATCTTCATTTTACGTCAGGTTGGTTCGAACAAGTTACAAAGATTAGCAAGATAAAAAGAGCACAGGGAGACTTGGTAGTCAGATGATCCTGGGTATATTGTGGAGTCTTATCTAAAACAGCATTGAAAGCCATGAATATGCTACCTTCTAGGGGTACTTCGTTGAAAGATATTGTCTGAAACGAGTAGCCTGTAGTTGGAATAGTAGAAGAAGTTCCCCCTTCCGATCAAGCAATCTAATATCCCGCTGGTTGTATATACTATACAATAGCGTTAGTTACTATTTGGGAGGCAGGATATGCCTTTAACCAAACCAAAGTCTCTCGTAGCTGGATGGCGGCCAACTTTGCGATCCCCTGCTTCAAAGCTACAGTTGCTTCCGGATAGAGGCCTATCTTGATATTTTGCCAGGCAGAAGGATCAATGAATTGTTCACATAACCCAGCGTGCGCTGTATCATTTGCTGCACTGTCTAAAAGGCAACTTGAGAATAATTCCATGTTAATGGATGACTATTCAGTGTTCACATGGTGGGGAAGATCCTACTATTATCGGCTACTTCCCTTCGTGACGAATAAGGATTCTTCTTAAATATCTTTGTTGCGGCCGAGCAGTGAAGGAGTATTTTATAGATTCTACCAACTTTCTCGGGGAATAACATGGATGTATCACTAGTATGTTGTCCATCGTCGTCGGCGGTAGCAATTACAACGACAACCTAAATAATTGACGCATTCGTAGGGTCTTTGTTTATCACCGAAAATAGCACACGTCGATTCCAACTCACTATCATCTGTCAAATGATTTGCAACTCATTTCTCAAATCGGTATACCCGTGTGCTATTTCATTTATCAAAGATATATATCGGGTATCAGTACCGTATATTACTCCTATGTATGTATCGGCGTGGCCGAGATCGGACTTTTATATATTGGGATTTGTTCGTTGGTATTAATACAAATCAAATGTGCCCCAGCAATGCAGAGAATAAATCTTGATGAGTTTGAAGTGATGGCCATATTATACTGTACTATACCACGGCGTATACAGATCAAATAGTTCTTGATCTTTGTAATGTTGAATTTGAACGAGAGTTAGGGTGAAGTGCGTCTTCTTTGCAGCATAGTACCCGAATGTCCCGACACGGCGCCATGATTACTTTGAATAAAGCTATGATATAGCCTTTTAATGGATTCGAAGGAGGTTATGATTTGAAACCATATCGAACGTCTATCGATGTATCTATTCAATCGGATAAGTACGCCGCCCAGATAGAATATTTAGGACTCATTAAACATTATCGTTACTGTAGAAAGAATATTGACAAGAACGTGTTATGCCAATTATATATTATATATTAGATTTGAATAATAATAATAGATATATTTTCTATACAACTCAGAAGTTGAGAATGAATCATAAATATAAATTGTATACTGAGTAAATTAATATAAATGTGTAACAATTGCAATAGAATGTTTGATCTGGAATTCATCCGAGTGGCGAATCCTATAGTGTGAAAAGGGGTCATATAATCGCGATCGAAATAACCGAAATCAACACGAGTCATGTACTCCTTTGTATATCAGTATCAGAATCTCAGCGCGACCGAGCGATCCACAGTAAGGTTACGTAGCGTAACGTAGCAGCTCCACTATCTACACTAGCTAACAATGAGAATCGAACCACCCTACGATAGATATACATACATTGTGACAATCCAACCCCCAACCTTACGACATTAGAAATGGTGAAAATAGTTCTCGCCGGCGGTGCTGGAAGTAAGTAAAATCCATACCAGACAGTAAAGTAACCTTCATTAATACTGTATAATCGATCACTAGATGTTGGGCGAGAGATTCTGGACGAATTGATTACGCAAACGTATGGTAAACATGAGATTAAAGTATTCTCTCGAAAGGTATTTATCATGAGCGAATCCCATGTCATGTCATATGATACTACTGTATTTGAGTACACATTTGAGTACACATCAAGACCATCCTAACATCGAATCAGGATGTTCCTGAGCTAGCCGCCTTGGGTATCACAGTAGACATTGTAAACTATCATGATATTTCCGCTCTTATCGATGCTCTCAAAGGAATCGACACCGTTCTCTCATTCATCGTCACCATAAATGATCCCGATAACGTCGCCCAGAAAACCCTCATAGATGCGTGTGTTTCTGCCGGAGTTCGTCGTTTTGCTCCAAGTGAATGGGCTACGAAGAGCCATTGCGGAATCCCTGCTTATGAAGGTAAAGATCAAGTATATGAGTATCTGAAAGAAATCAACCGAGAGAGAAAGGTCAGTTGTGATGGCTCTAATTTGTAGGCAGTGCTAAGACTAGGTTTAGGTCCTTGAGTTCACTCTATTCCAGTGTGGATTATTTTTGAATTATTTCAGTTATCCACGAGCATCCACGGAATTCATGCAGATATTCCCTATGCCGATCGATGTGGATGGTTGCCGCGCGATTGTTCTTAGGGATACAAAGGCTCAGATCAGTTTGACTTCGGTACAGGACTTGGCGAAAGTTGTTTCTAAGGCTGTAGACTATGAAGGTATATGGCCAGAAATCAGCGGCATTCGTGGCAATCAGATATCGATCTTAGAGTTCATTAGTTTATGCGAGAAGATTAGAGGTCCGTCTTGTAGATCACTGATATAGTTGGATTTTGGCGCTGATGACTTCTCCCTTTTAGGCAAAAGGTTCGTTATTGAATCCGTAGAAAGGGCTGACTTGGAAGAAGGGAGGTTCACCTCGTCCTGGTTTCCCGTGATCAATCATCCCGTAATCCCAGACGATCAAAAGAGTGCCTTTTCACAGAGCTATTTTGCGACTTTCATATTGGCAATGGAGCGTGGTGGTTGGGATGCATCCAATGAATGGAACGAATTCTTGCCAGAATTTCGTTTCACTGGTGCTGAAGAGTTTCTGTCAAAGATTTGGAAGAATCAATTATAACGTAGCCATCGGGAGGTCAATGCGAAAGCATGGCCTATCAATACTATTATATTGCGTGTCTAGCTTGGCTGATTGATTCCGAATCCCAATAAGGAATCCATCGATATTGACGCCCAACCTGAGTAATCAGTAACTTTTGTCCCCTCCTGGCCCTTGTAAAGAATTTTGCACGGTAATCTCTGCCACAGAGCGGTAGTTGATTGCTCGGAGAAGAGAACGACCAGAATAAATTGCCTAGGTATGGTAATTTTCATGATAGGATCCAATAACTTCATCTGTCCTACCTCACTTAACCGTGGTCTCATTGTGGACAACCTAGGTGACTCCACATGCAAATATTTGAGTTTCTCCATGGTAGGTATTACGTCCCATGTGTCGACCCAATCCTTAGGATAAAGAAGATCCACTATTCCCTTGAATGCTAGAGGGGAAGGGGACCGACCACGAAGCGACCATTCTATCCGCAATGCAGTGATAATGTCAAATCTGTTTCGGAACACCAGACGCAGATCTACCAAGTTTAACGACTGTATCTCAAAGAGGTTGTGGGTGTATAATATCTCGATCGATTCGAAGGAACTGCCAGAATCAGCAGCGAGTACTCGTAAGATGAGCAATGGAAGGCCCGTACATTTGACGACAAGTCAATGGAAGATTTAGCAACCCATGCCCATACACCTGAAAATTCGTCATGTCATCATTTATCTGTTTGCAAGCCAGATCTTCTCGAAAATATGACTGCTAATGGTGGTTCCGACAGTTGATCATGCATGATTTTGGACTGGTGTTCATTGGTACAGCGCAAACGGTGTGAGTGGTATGCATATAGCTACGATGTGCATTCATTCGAGGCACCATATGAAGGGTTTTTCCACCAAGACAGTATTGCCAGATCAACCTTCTTATCTCGAGTGGGAGTCCCATCAGTGCAGATCTTGATTTCCCGGTGGTTTGCGAAGGATTCCAGGGAAAGGGTAAGGTGGTGGAATGACAGAGATGTGGATTCGGCCTTGGAATATAGATCGGTGGTTGCCGTCTAAGTAGGCTGGGCAAAGGGTGATATTTGCCTTTATGATTTTTGAAAGGATATACTAGCCAAGGGTACCAACGGATCACTGACCAAACTACCATCGCAATGCGCATGCAAACGCTGCCGACTATCTTCATACATTCCGAACGAATGATACGATAGAAAGGTAGGCGTGCCATGATGGTACTGGCGTTGATGCTTTCGGATTGCTAAATATTGATTAAAGCGTAGTATTGCCTGATCACAAGGAAAGATTGATGTGATTCGCTTATATCTGGAATATTCATGTCAACGTTGTACAGTTTCTTCAATTGTGAAGTCAAAAGCATCACAGTTTAAGTTTGAGGTTGTCTGCGAATATAAATGCCGGTATTCCAATTCAATTGATTTTATATAAATAAAAAAACATCAATGTCTGATCGTTTGATGTCTTATTACTTGTACTGAGTAGTAGAACATGGTTGTGGTTCACCCCGCACCGCCACTATAAACGAGGCTGAGAGATCTTGCGGCCGCTAGCTTTTGCGGGGACTAACTATTCGCTGGGAATTCATCTTAGCCTTGAGCTTGTCTTCCATGTTATCACTTCCATCTAGGATTCATCTAGGATTCATTGCTTTTATAATTCAATTACTCTATCACATCAATTAAGCCCCACACAAAGACCCCCTCATCAATTCATCATGAATGCGAGAATTTTATGAATATATATACCATAGCCGTCACGATTGAGCGACACAATCCTTGACCATCTCTGGTTAAGTCGACTCGCGACATCGAACTATGGCAATCCTCGAAGAATTTCTCAGATCTATTCTGAAGTTCATCAGGACAAAGGACTCTAAAAGTTTACAGTTATGGCTTCGAGTTGAACCTCCCCTTCCCGACCACTATTTTCAGCTTGGTAAAGAATTGAAAGCATCATTCCAAAACAGCACTACACTAGAACGCCAAATTGCGAAGCTCCTGCCCGATGATCCTGACGCAAGTTTTGAGGATGGCAACATTTGGCCGGGCTTTTTGGCTTTTATGAAAGACTATTTGGAGTTCTGGAGAGATGTCAGTTTTGAAGACTTATTAGAAACACACTCACAGCTTACCGCTTTAGCAAGGTAAAATCAATTCTTTGACTTTCGGCAAACATACTAATCGAGTGCAATACAGTACTTGTCTAGCAGCTTTGTCCAATCCAACATATGGGATAGTAATACTGCCGACGGCCATCCAATTATCCACAGCACTCGCCAAACTTGCAATGACCCTCGACAAACGACCAGATCTCACTAGACGATTGCGGAGAGTCGCTGATGTCGATGCGGGCGAGACTAGGAAGACTTTGGTTGAAGGAACTGCAGAAACAATACAACGCGCGTTCACACTTTGCTTGACGGAAAGGACCACAAATAGAAATGGCGTTGGGGCAGATGGGAAGCCAGAAGGAAAGAAAGTCGGCATATACTCATTCGCGAATCTGGCTTTGAAACTCTTCTTCCAAGTATGGTGGCCTCCAATCGATCCATGGAATGATACTGAATGGTCCCATAGTGCCGGAAAACGCGATTGGCGAATCAACTTATCACAAACATTACTCAACACTCTCCGCCACTGGATCTTTATCCCGCAAGCCAAAGGGTGACATATCTCTATTATCTTGGCCGTTACTTCTTCTCGAATACCCACTTCTATCTCGCGCAGTGTAGCCTTCAAGCTGCGTACGACCAGTGCCATGCCCAGTGTATTAACCAGCGACGCCTAATTTTGATCTACCTAATATCATCGAATCTGATCCTCGGTCGATTTCCTTCTCGGCCTTTTATGTCGCGTCCCGAAGCCGCTGGAGTCCTTGAAAAGTTCACACCGATTATCAAGGCCATCAAATTAGGAGACCTGATTGCTTTCAAGCGCTCTTTGGGCTCGGAAGGTGGAAATGAGAAATGGTTCTTCGACAAAGGAATTCTTCTGCCGCTTTTGTACCGTTGCGAAACGTACGTTTGGCGATCACTTGCACGACGAGTCTTATGTTTGACATACCAGTGGCCATTCGACCCTAATTCCAAAAAAGCACCGACTATGAATCTTGTCGATTTGGTCACAGCTGCGCAATATTGCCAAAAGATACTTGAGGGTTGGGAGCGACCCGTAGACTCTACTGCATTTATGCAGTCCGGTCGCACACACACCAATACCATGTTTATGACAGCGCCAGATTTGATGAAGCCCCCCTCGGACACGGTAAAAATCTCGGCAAATAGTGGGGTAATCTGGGGCAGTAAAATGCCAGAAATGTTGGATATTGAAGCAATTGTCGCAAGTTTGGTCCAACAAGGGTTGTTGAGGGGATTCATCAGTCATATACAAGGCAAATTTGCGATTTTAGGTGCAAAACAGAGGGGCGGACCTCTAAGTGCAGGGTTTCCAATTATTTGGGAAGTTATTAAGGATAGAGCTGAAAAGGAGGGGCACGGTATTGATGTACCTGGTTGGGTCACTGGTGACAGCACTGGAAATACTAGTGGGGGAATCGTCAATTTGACTGGAATCGCTCGACCCGCTGGGGCTACATGAGCAAGAACACATCCAGAATAATCGAAACGCTGAACAAATTCGTCCTCGATAGCCCTACGGAGCTTTGCCAATGACATGCAGTTCTACGAATAAATTTCGCCCATTGTGATGTATTCCTCATGTATGGAACTGTGCCGCAAATCGATAAAAGAAGGCCGACCTCTCCAGCATAAGCCAAGGTAGTTAGAGGGATAATCTTGCTACTTCGAGGAATAAACCTACCATCCCATTCAATGGAACAAAAACGTAAGATCAACGTTTCGATTTGCCAGCACAATCATCCTTCGGACTCTCCGATACACGTGGTATATTTCCAATATATATCACACAGCTCAACCAGGCCCGTAATTACTCTGATGTACAGTACTATCATTCCCGACTCGTTCTTGGATATGAATCAGGACAGTACGAGTATATTTTTCACAAGCCAGATGATATGCTATATATTATATAATCGAATCGTATCTAAGGCACTTGGATTTTATTTTTGTTACATATACTAGTTTGACTTTGTGTATACTATATACTGAATTTGATATATATACTGCTAGTTATAACTAGCCTGAACCGGAGAACTATCGGAGATGTTTATATAGTAATGCAATCTAGAATGATTTTTGTAACTTGTGTATAAAATATATATGTTAGTGACAAGCGCTTTGACTCCAGCCCCTTGGTACTAAAAAAACAATTCGTTTCGTTATACTTTTTGAATTGTTTTTCAAGGCACCTCAAGTCCTATATCGCAACTTGTTCTCCAGAGGCTTATAAATCATGAATTTTAAAAGATTAAAAGATATTCTTGAATATTATCTCTTCAGATTTTGTTTTATCGATTATTATTAGAAATATTATATTAATATTAAAGATTGAATACAAATTATTATATGATTTTCAGAAAAAAAGTTCAATATTATATATTGACTACTAGTATATGCGTTTTTTCAGTATTTTATAATATAAAAAGATTAGATTATTATATAAAAAAGTTGTCTTATTTTATATAAGAAAAGATCTTCTATATAATATAAGGAGTATAATACCGGTATACTTTAATTTCGGTGTACCGGTATAATCCGATTCCAGACCATAACTTGTCATAGTAACGGTGCCGCCACCGAGTTAATATAGTGGCGCATTGTAGATATAGATATGGTTTAGGAAGAGAAAGATATGGATTGAATAATGAAAGACAGCCTGAAGATAACGCCGCCTTTCGAGCTAATAAGTACGCTAAGCTAACTGAGTTTTGATGGTACAGGACATGCGTGGCTATCTGTATATCAGATTGCTCAGAGTCCGTGGGTATTCCCGTATTCCCTAGCTCTCACAGAGAACTGGGCAACTGGGCAAATACGAGGCCTTTAGTAACCTTACCCAATCCAGCCTAGTTTCACGACATTAATCATTAACCCCGCCATAAGCGAGCGAACCAGTGAAAACTACTCCACATTTCATTTTCCACTAAGGACGGGAACTTGTCATCGCCAGATCAGAAGAACATCACTTTAGTTACATTCAACCACATTTCCACAACGACAATAAGTCGACAGTTGTCTTATACACTTCGCACAACCATGGCATCGCACGTGGAATCATCATTACGCACAACAATGGAATCGAGGATGGAAAACCTATCAGAAGAAGCCAAAAAGGCCGCAATAGCCTGTGGTGAAGCAATCAACTCTTTGAAATACCGTCCATTTGAAAATTATGAGATTTGTGACGATCCAGCGAACTTGGTCAATGCTTCGGAGGACTTCTTGAAGATTTTTGTACCGTCGATCACGGTGCGCTTCCTTCTTCATATATACTTGTATGTCACCATATCCTGCACATAGTAGCTGACTTGAGATTGATTGAAACAGACAAGACCATTCCCTTCTCGGGTCAACGCTCTACGAATTACAAGCGGCTCCGCAATAGTACCTGTAAAACCAGGGGCGAGCGTTGAACTTGTACCTGTGTTCATCATATGTGGAACGGCCTCAATCTTGGACACAAAGCTCAACTTGGGGGACTTTATACATTTGACAAAGGATACTCCGGTGGAGCCAGCATTCTGCTGCCTCTTGCTCTTGGCTCAGTGATCTCCTATATCACTAGGGCCAGGCGTGGCCTAATGATACACTTGATTCGCAGGGATGAAATCGATGGGTGGGGATATACTCCACATATCTTGTAGGGAGACAGTGGCACATGGTAGCCAGATTTGAATGTAGTCATTCGGATATTGGATTGTAGTTGGAATACTTGGAGCGAAATCCCAGACTTTGTCGTAGGTATATTGGCCATTATTCGCTGTAGGCATTGATACAAGCTGGCTTTGAACTTCTCCGACCTCTCTTTGAGGATATGTCGTAGCCTCTATTTCATTGGTCCACATTAGGCTCATAGGTTTTTGATAGGATAGCATAATCCAAATGCATACCTTGCAGAACAGCCTGGCTCGACTGGGAATAAAATTCTCCTGATGTCATCATATCCTCATTCGAATAAGACGCAGACATGGCCACTATCAAACATTATTAGCCTACCAATGCCTCCAATATACTGCTGTACGAGGAAGAACTTGCCAATTCGATTGCTCCCTATGTGTTGTTGCTGGAGCGGAGGCGTACACAAATGTGCAGGATGGTTTTCTGAATGGTACAAAGCCTTAGCACAGCAGAGTGAGGTCTTGGATGAAGAGTTCTTACCGGGAGATTGAAAACTTGCAGCTGTAGAGAGTACTTCCATAGCGGTTGTGTCTGCGTCTTGATATGTCAGCGGGGAAACCTCCAGAGTCTTTGGGCTCAAATGTACTTGGGATTGTGTGCCGTGAATGCTGCCGTATAGCTTCGAATGGCTGTCCTGGCACCTGCGCTGTTGAAGATGCTTGCAGAGACATAGAATCATGAGAGTTCATTGTGCTACCGCTATGAATGGGCACCAGTCCGTTATCTTCAAGCTCGGATTTCCTTCCATTTTGTGTCAGGGGGCCTAGACTTGTGCTTTCGAATGGCCGTGACTGACCCTCTCTTGGTGAAGAAAAGGACACTTGAAGGAATCGGAAATGATTAAGAGTCGTCGATCGAATTCGTTCTGCTGCTTGCTGACTTTTTTGTGCGGGTTCCTTCAGATATAGAAATTGTTTAACAACTCCTTCGTACTCAGTGTCGTCAAGAGGTAGCCTTTTCTCGAGGCTGGAGATGTTAAATACCGGAAAAAGGGGTGTGTTGGTGCACTTACAAGTCTACTGATATCCGGGCTGGGAGTGCCATGAGGATCCCGACACCAAAGCTAGTTGATAGTCTGTGGTATCTCCGTCCTGCCCTTACCCATCCGACAATGTTCGTGCGGACGGTACTGAGATCGTGATGAATGGAACTTTGGGAGGTGATTAGTGTTGAGAGTTTGTCGTAGCTTGTACTGACAGTCTTATTGCATCCTTGCGGATTGAGGAGCTGGAGCAAGTCATAAAAGAACAGGTTCCTGAACCTCCAACGTATAATATCCAAAACATGACGATACTCTAACCGTACTGTACCATCGTAAAAGTTGGAAATCTCAGCAGAGTTTGGATCGAGCGATATCTCAGGAGATTGCCAGAACTCTGAAGGGTTCGCAGACCAGCGTACGAGGCTTTCCGCATCCAACGTACATGGAGGCAGCAAAGTTTTAGAAGGTGGTATCTTTTTCTTGGACCTGACAGTTCGAGGCAGAAAGTGTATTTGAGTATCTTTGGCACCTTTGACCAAACTTTTACATAACTTTAAAACTAATTAGCCACAAAACAGAAAACGCGGTCAGTTCCAACACCTACATCTTTATCTTGCAGCAAGTTCTCTAAAACTGTCAATCGTTCGTTTTTGGTGGTCTGGTAGAGAGTATCTACGATTTTGCTAAGATCGTGACCCATTTTCGACTTGTGGTGGGTGTAGGTGGTTTGTAGGTGGTGTAGGGTGTAGGTGTGTAAGACGGGAGGAGGGGATGGGTGCGAGACCCTGTGAGGACTTTGTTGAAACGCATGATCAAGAACGCTAAGACTAATGCTGTTCTCTCCATATCCCTCAAATGGTTGCGAATCTTACTGGGCCAAGTTTCTTACATATAATTCACACCCCCACATCTTCTAATTTGCTTCATTGGCATCAAAAACATTTGGTTATATGTTATATGTCACAATTGCAACAAGTTATCCGCCGATCTCCCCCTTTTTAGCGACCAAGCATATCATGCACATGCACATGCATGAAATTATACAATGGGAAATAAATAATATGAAAGGCTGGCACAATTTACTTGGTGTGGGAGCCCATCCCGCTCGGATAATTAATTTATGCAGGCTGCTCGAAGCGGTTCCTATAGGAGATATGTATGTAAGAGGGATGATTATAAGAAGAAGCTGGGAACGAAACAAAATCTATCATCAATTACTCTCCTCATCTTATCATTGTATCATTCGCCTTCGTTTGCTATTTATTTACCGCCTTGCTTTACCTAACCGACCTTTGCCGTCATCGCACCTTCGCCAATCATCTATCTATCTTACTTTCATTCCTACTCCCTCGTCAATTCAGTCGTTCTCCCTTATTGTCACTTGTGGCCTTCAGATAATTATTCCCATGCAAATGGCGTCCGAACAAGATTTGACTCCCCTCCTGTGGCGATCGCCCTAACTATTGTGGCACCTGCCACTGCCTTGATCAAATTTGTGGGTTTCTTCACAGTTGGCCATCTCTTACCTTTCACTTGCGTCTTCTGCTGCTCTGTTTATTGTCGTCTCCGTGAACTTCCACAAGCAACAGCTTCGGATAAAGTTCGTGGAACACGTTCTGCTCCTCTTCAATTTCGGACTACCATTATTTTACGAGGTGAATCTTACAGGTGAACGTTTACTATCCATGGCTAATTAATTGTTAGATAGAATTGTTTTACCATCTTCGAGAATTTGTTGTAGAGAGAGTCCTGCAGGCTTATTTTACATTGACGGTTTTATTTGGCTGTCTTGTAACTGCTCTCTGCATTTGGTAAGATTGAATCAAACCGCGTGCTGTAAATCCGTGGCTGAATGAAGATAGGTGTCTAACACAGAATGCTGAACGCGCCACAGCCTTCAAAATTCTGCTTATTGTGGAATCTATTGTATGTGGAGGTTTGGCATTTGGATACTGGTTTCTTGCCCTAAAAACAACAGATGATGACGATTCCGAATTCATCGTAATTGGAAGTTGTGTTGGTTGGGTTCTGATATCCATCTTGATTTGCATATCTCTGATCGTGGCTTGGTCAAGGCCAGAGCACTTTAGTATCTTTACAACTACTTGGGTAACTTTGTCAAGTCCTTTGCTAGGTTTTGCTAACACATTCAGATTGCTTTTACTTTGCTTACTACATTTGCAACTCGGTACGCTCTGGCGTTTTTGTGTTTGACCAGAGACGACGAAACCTCTTCAATTTCAACGGCAGAACGTGGCGGCAGGGAAGCACAAGATTCTGCACAAAGTTCCTCGACTCATTTGGTGGCACCTATCTAGACCACATGGTCTAGCTTTTCCAGATCGAATACTTTTAGACTTTGAAGTTCTCATCCATCTGAAAGTCACGGCAGTCTGTATTCGAACCCCACAACCCCTTATGTATATCGATATCTCTTCCAGGTTTTCCTCTCCGCCATAAATTTATATGCAGCATCCCTCGTCACGCCAGGAGCAACCCCATAAATTTCCCACGTCACTATCCCTGTATCGGTCCATCTAACCAAGAACTTCCTAGAAGATTTATCCACTCCTTCAACCTGCTCCTCTTCAAATATGATCTCACTCGGATCTCCAGTTGACGGCTGCTTCTTCTTCTCAGCTTTGGTTTTGCATTTCTGAAACTCCTTGACAGCCCTGGTATCAACATTTTGAATAGCGAACCAGCTGGGCTCGATACCAGGACCCCAATGAACAAGACATTGCAGACCCGCTTTTCTTTCCTCAATGGTGTAGATGGTGGAGAATGGGAATTTCACTTCACCGGAAGGAATGGCCATATATTGGGGCTTGTCGTTCGAACCCAAGTTCTTACATACAAAGCCTGATGCATTTTCGCCATCTGAACTTGAAGAGAATCTGGTTTTGATCTTGGTGGTTGTTTTGTGTTTAAAATCGCGGCTCAGATCCGCTGCAGTATTTTGCTGTACTGATGCCTGGGAGTCTTGGGGGTCTTGGGAAGCCTGTTCCTCTCGTTCTAGCCGCAATATTAGTGTTATTAGCCTCCAGATCTTAGCCCCATATCGCACAGCTTACCTGTTTCTTTCAAAATTTCCTCCTTTGTCATCACATCGTGAATCGCTTCCTTTGGTACACTTGGCCAAACCAACCACTCGGATCGCAACTTCTTCTGTCTCTCATCTCTCAAATCTTCATCGTCTTCCTCCTCTATTTCCCGGATATCCTGACCACGCCAGAGATCTTCCGCCTTAAAAATCGCACATCGCTTCATGTCGTCACATCTTCCTTTGAGCTCATACAACACCAGTTCATTTTCGCTCGTAATAACTTCATTTCTTGCAGCCTCAACATCATTCGTCACGGCGGCATAGATGCTCAGGGAGTCTCTTCCCAGCCCGTCTCCAGCGCCACGACGACGAGTAAAAGAGCCTCTGGCAGCTTTCTGACTAAGAGAGAGGAGATTAAATGGACGAAAGCCAATATCGCGAGGGGAGTAAGAGTTTTTGGGGCTGTGTGATACATCGCCGGGAAGTAGGTCCTTTGAGGGGTCGTGTACGAGGTAGAGTGTCTCGGGAACCTCATCGGGGGGTACACGGAGCTTTTCCATGGTTGTTTGGTTGTTCGGTCGTTTGGTAGCTCGAATACTTGTAGCATGTGGTTCATCAGTTGCTTGCTTGGCTGTCTAGATCAAAAAGTTTTGATGGAGATAGGAGGATAGGAGAATTTAATTTAAATCTATAGAGCTGTAACAAAGAACTTGGATGAATATTCTAGTAGTTATGACAATTTCTAGAGTCTTGTAGGTCTCAAATGTAATCTTATGAGAAAGAATGAAAGGAACGAGAAATTTCGTTAATTCTACCAAGCTGAGCAAAGAAATGATTAAACTCCAGAACCTTCGAGCCAAAGATCATAAGGGATAACTTTTCACATCGAATCGAACGATCAAAGAGAACAGAAGCGCGAGTAGACAAGGCTATACATAAGAAATACCATCTTAACTTTCCATCTTGAAGCTTCTTCGGTGGTTCGAGTTTGGATAATGAATTTTTATAAATATCGAAGTCTAGAAGATATCAATTCTATCTAATCTTTGTTTTAATGAGATGAATGAAGTGAGATAAAAAAGCAAGTCATAGCATTTTAATAGTGATAGAGGTATGTTATATTTCTGAGTAAGGTAGTGGGTTTTTGAGTTCTAGTGCTTCTGTCATGCTGTTGTCACGTTGCTGTCACGGTGTACTAATTTGAGAATGTTCGGCCCCTAAACTTGTATTGGAGTATTAAGAACTCTTCTGGGGATTATTTTTCAGTTATATATATATACAAAATCTTATATAATTAATAATCCTAAAAAGAAAACCAAAAATGATAAATAGAGATACGGCGCCCCTTGGAACGCCTAGCGATTACAAATTTAAGTATCTAGTCAATAACTTGAAGAAGCGAATCAAGTAAACTATGGGGATGGAGAGAAGCATCCAATTCTATGAATCGCATCCGGGTGTTAAGATTAATTTTACGGTTGCGAGGAGGATGGGCAGACGATTGATGCCAGTGATGGGTATCGATTGGTGGGTTGAAATGTTGGAGAAGTAGAGGGTTGAAGGTTTGGAATGGGGATGGAATGGAATGAAGTGGAGCAAAACGATGCTTGAAGTGTTTTTGAGAATAACGAGAGGAGTTGAGTTTGGTAGAAGATTAGGGTACTTTGATGAATATCGGTAGCTATTGTGTCCTTTCACAAACATGTACATGGCATTTTTAGCTAGATTAAAGTATTAGATTACCGAAAAGGATTTCCTAGTGGAACTTTCCTAAGCCCCTACCCCATCTAGCTTCGGTCCCTAGCTTCGGTTATACCGCATGCCCCCTCTTCACTCGGCTATTCAGAGAAATCCCTCGTCACTAAATAGGGAGAAGAAAGAGATATGTGGCCATATATCGGAGGTAAATCTTTTCGATCATGAATATAAATTGCTTTTTTTCGCCTTCTCCTCAACCTGATTCCTACACTCTCTTTACGGAAGCGAAGAATGTGACCAAAGTTGGCATATCCTTTTGAGTCAAATCATTTTCTGGAATAAATGGAACATTGAGAGTTTGGTGTTCCGATTGAGTCTGAAGATTGATAGCTCGTTGTTTAAATTTAATCAGGGTTTTGATGGATCGTTGCTCAGGTGGGGTGATAGATACAGCAGCAAACCTAGAGATTGGGCGTCTAAAGACGTATTAGATCTGTTCGGGTGTTGTAAAGTACGTTGAGAATTTAATTGTCCAGTTAAAACTCTGGGGACACATTCACTGACTGAATTATATTGATATTTCCCAGATACATTTCGCATTATTGGTAGGCCGTTATATTAGCAGCAGAAAGAATACCCCATACAATTATCCAACCTCAAATGAAAGAAGAAACAACTAACGTGAAGTCGTAAATCATGAACCTAGCGATAAAACCCCCTTCTCGATGTATTTCAAACACTCTGCTGAGTGTTCTCCACCTTTGTCTCAACATTTCGCTTACATAGCTTCTTCGTATGGTTCCATGCACGGCTCACAGTCGCAGTAAACCATTTCCAAGCAATTAGCCATACATACTGGGCAACACGCCAGCTCGAAGGTGTTTCAATTTGTTCGTTGACATGAACAAGTCTGGTCAATCCATCGCCTCTCTGCTTCCATGTTTCGTTGCCTTTAGTTTTCATGTGGTTGACAACTCGAGATTTGAGTGCCCAGAGTATCTTGTTGCAAATGAAGATGACATTATTAAGGTTGGAAACTACAAAGTAGGTCATTATGGCAAGGATGATTGTGGCGACAACCACGATACCAATGTGCGCCAGTGCGTCGTCGTTAACACTCCACATAGACTATTTCGTAGGTAAATACTGGAATGATTGTTGTAGAGGAACTCTTACATACCATAGTAAAGGATAGTGGCAGGAAAAAAATGCTCACAAAAGTCAAGAGCTTGACATTCTCTCCCAACCGTGTCGATGCTCTCGTTTTCATGACTGTGCTGGCGTTCAACATCTGTATGAGAAGCGTTAGCGCCTGATGACAGTGATCTTCCGGCTTACATACACCATCACTAAGGCCAATCGCGAGCTCCCGCTGTTTGTTTAACTGTCTCTGAAGAGTTTTGAGATCATCACGGAGTTTTCCTAGAGTTTTCACCACTATCTTCTCTCGCTCTTCACTAAATTTGCCCTTAGGCAATGAATACCATTTCTGCAAGGAGGAATCTTCCGAGAAATTCATAAATCCTTCGACTTGGTGAATGACTGCAGCGATATCCGAGTCACACTCCTTCAACATGTTAATAGCCCAGAAATATCTTTTCGATTTAGTGTATATTGAATCATCTACAAGAAGAAGATCATGTGCTTCCGGCTCCAGTAAAGCATCACTCTCGCTCAGTAGAGACTCAAAATATATCAAAAGCTCTTCCCAAACGGATATGACTCTCCTCAAGCTCATATTTATGATTCCTGACATAGCAACCAGGAATTCACGATCGATTGCTCTGCAGCCATCCTCGTAGAGGAGTTGTCCAAAATAGTACCGATCGCATGATTGTGGCATCAGAACTACAACCGTCCAGTGTTCTGGAGACCATCGTTTAGAGGTATTAGCAAGTCCTATAAGCTAAACACATGTCAGGAATGTATGAACTCGTCAGTAAGGCCACAATAGCAAAACCCACTGTATATGAACTACGCCTCAATAGAAGTTCTCCCCCAAGGTATCTAGGCTGCCGCACCTCGTCACGAAATCTGCCTATCTTACATATTCCAAAATTTTCTCTTTCACCAACCCTCTCCTGCACCAGCAAACGTTCGTAGAAAGCGATTTGAAACAGTGAAAAGTATTCTTGAATAACGACTTTACGAAACCGGAGGCATGCAAGGTGAACAGTAAACGCAGTTATCACGCGTCCCGCCGATTCTAACTGGCCTGGGCTATACTGGCATTCCTTTTTCTTGATAGGATGGTCCCAAAGTAGTCGGAAGAATGGTATAGGTTCGAACAGTTCCACGGATTTGTACATGCGTGATATTTCCTGCAATTCTCTAGGTCACAAGTCAGCTTTTATATACTCGATTCTATGTATATCTGCACTTGCATCACTCTCCTCCATCTTCCATCTACTTGACCGCCAGGATCACTAGGATCGCCGGAATATAAGACATGTTCGTCTGGCCGATTGTTGTAGGCTTCGGCCAAGGATCCGCCAACTGATTTGCCATCTCAAAACACGTTGTGAGATGATTTCTCTTTGAATTGAGTATACTCTATGTAAGATGATTTGTGAAACCAATCTCTGATTCTTAAAGTGCCACCCGTTAGTGTTGGAACACTTTCGTGCTTGCCCAAGGCTTTCTTCAAATCAAGGAAATGCTGGAAGGACTTGAATCCAAAATCAACTCTACCATCATATGGTAACAGCATAAGCTCCTTCCATACCTTCCAATCTTCTTCGTTGTCAGATGCAAGTTTGGGTGGCTGCGTTTTCAGTATGGAAAATATATCACCACGATTGTTGTATAAATTGTCCTGGATCTAACACAAACATGACCAACAATCAGTAAAACTTCAGCGAATATTAAGAGAAAGCATTCTAATCGTGCATGAACGCTCAAAGTACTTACGAACTGGTAATATTCAGAGGACATATTATCTGAGAAAAATCTCTCATCAATATCTCCCCAGAATTTAATCTCGTCAAGCGGCACGATGTTGTCCTGTGTTCCAGGCAAGATAAAGGTTGGATTATATGGCAAAACATCGTTGTTGATAGGCTTTAGCGGTTCTATTGCTGCCCCTTTGCCATTGTCGTTTGATGATTCAAAGCTTTCGGCTGTTTGGGTTGAGGAACTCTTGAAGTCCACCCTGACCATATCATCCCTAGCCTTGTTCTGTCGACCCAGTTGAGAAGAAATATTTTGCAGTTCCTTCAACGATTCTCTTAGAAGAACAGCTATCCCCTCAGGATCTGCGCTATTCGGTATCGCCATTGTAATTCAATGTACCCAGGATTGGGAAAGATGTTTTAACTTGACTGGTGGGATCATGTAAAGGGGGGAAAGAATCTGAAGACAAAATGGAGTGACCACTCTGCTATGAATATACAGCCTTATCATACATAAAAAACGGTCTGAGCCATTGAATTTGCCCATATACCCCTCGAAGGCTAGATGCATGAATACGATATCTCAAGTTACACATCTTCTTAAATGGACTTCAAGAATCAAACATGATTCAGAGTCCTCAACTTAGGACTACAAACACAAGGCCACAATGCTGTGCACAATAAAAGATGGTTAAGGCTCCTATGTTCGAACTCCCAGAATAGTATATCAGAGAAGTTGTGCAATCAAATGCTAAGCAGTGTCTACTGTGACACTATATTCCTAAAATAGTTTAGAGGTTAATCTTGGATTTCTTGTTAGAATCTCTTCAATAATGATGTATGTATATTTAGTGAGAGTGAGAGTGATGGGTTATGATGATGATGATGGTTGATGGTATAGAGGTATAGAGAAGGGGGGTGGGATGGGAGGAAAGAGGAAAGGGGAAAAGGAAAGGGAAAAGTAATGAGTAGATTCCAGAGTGGAGATTTGAAAATCGAGACGATACATAAGTTCTGAAATTTATATTTCATGATATTGATGATACTAGGCATCATTGAGATATTTAATGCTTTAGAGTTTGAGGGGGCTAGCAGCTGGTACCTACTTGTACTTGTCTAAAAAGTTTAGAGTTTACAATGATTAGGGATATTGAATTATGGTAAGATTACATCAGACGGTTTGAACGACAGAGTATTGAGAATACGACGATGTTATGGATCGGCACGAGCGATGACTCTGGAAGATATTGGAGGGATGGGATGATTATGTCACTATGTAGAACTTTTGACTATCATTGAATTATATACGAAATGCGATGTAATGTAATGTGGTATACATACTCGTAATATGAAAGGAAAGTAAAGCATAGGGTCTCGGGAAACAAAAAATCAAACCATCGTTTTCTATAGCATATAATCGCTTCTGCCATTATCATATCAAAACGCCCGCTTGGAGAGTCTCACATAGGAGCTTAAAACGCCCCCTATACACCCAATCAACCAAAACCAAAAAACAACAAAAAGAATGCTCCAATACTAGCCCATTCCCAAACGGCGATACACACACCATTGACTGTCCTCTTTCCCATCTCCGTCTCCTCCTCAATTGCAACCCCCTTAATGACTGATATATTGAAATACTGCACTAACATTCTCATCCCCACACTCCTGCCTCAACAACAAATCCTGTATCGTCCCCAGTCCACTATTAACAAAATGATTCCACGTACTCGTATCACCATACATCATAGCCTGGGCTTTCAAAAACTGTTTCCCATCCGGCTTACACCTCTTACATTTTAACGTATCATGTGTATCACTCGTCGTATCCTTCCGGAATTGAAACAACTCCCTCAACGAATCCCGACTAAAATGTCTCTCGACGTCTTCCGCGGAATCGACAACACAGGATGAAAGCGATTGTTTATGGGACTGACGTTGGAAGATTTTTTCTTCAATGGTGCCGGTGGCGATGAAGCGGTATACGAAACAATCTTTCGTTTGACCATCACGCCAAACTCGAGCTAGGGCTTGTTGATCGGCGGCGGGGTTCCAATCGGGATCGAAGAGGACGAGACGATTGGCTCCGATGAGATTGAGACCACATCCACCGGCCTTACTACTAAGCAAGAAAACAAATTCTTGGCCGTCCGGGTCGTTGAATTTGTCGACAAGCTTTTGACGCTTGCTTACGTTCATGGTGCCGTCGAGACGCAAGGAGCCGTAGCCGCGGTTACGACATAATTTGTCGAACATGTCGAGAGTTTGTGTATAATTAGAGATTAGCACGATTTTATCGTTGGTATCTTGACGTATGCGCGCGAGCATGCGGTCCAAGACTTGCATTTTCCCTGAATACCAAGGTTTGATATCGCGATCGCGACCACGCCCGTCCTTGGGAACGTAGTCCTCGGGCCAGTATTGTTCGCAGCCGGGAAGGTCGTCGGAAAGATTCAGAAGGTCGGGGTGATTGCAAAGTTTCTTGAGCAAGCCAATGGCTTTGAGAGGTTGACTCCCTTTCCCTTTTAGGAGAGCTTTGATGTCTGGACTGGTGATAAAATGATTATATAGATCGAGTTGAAAGGGTGCGAGGCTACAAAATACGACGTGCTCGTATTTGACGGGTAGGTATTTGGAGAGAATATCGTTTGTTCTGCGAATGATGAATTTGTTGACGATATTAAGGAGATCTTTGATACATTCATCTCCCCTGGTTCGATCTTTGTCACTTCCAGCCGCATCTCGACCACGTTGAATTGGTAATTCATACTTCTTGCGAAACTCCATTCGAGTGCCTAGAATACCGGGATTGGCGAAACTGACAAGAGAGAAATATTCCGTCAGATCATTTTGAATTGGCGTCCCAGACAAAATGACTCTTCTAGTAACATTCAGACTGTTCAATGCTACAAAAGTCTGACTGTCTCCGTTCTTCAAGCGATGACCTTCGTCACATAACATAAGTCCAATTTGAGTATGCTTGAGTTCATCAACGTAAAGTCGTAACGTTTCATAAGAAACTATAATAACAGGCCTCGTAATGGATCGACCACTCGCAATAGCCCACTGTCGTAATTGCTGGGTGAGTTCCTCCTTCGAAGCTTTACCGTCAATTGCGAATGGTTGAATAGCATCCGGGCCCAACCACTTGACCAACTCGTTTGCCCAATTCTTGACTAAACTGGAAGGGCAGGCAATAATGGCCTTATTGATAGTCGGTTTCCCAGCATCGGTAGACTGCTTCAGCATTGTCCACATGAGAGCGATGCACTGTAAAGTCTTTCCCAAACCCATCTCATCTGCCATGATACAACCATTCGCCCTGTCGTCCACCATACCAGTAACGCATCTATACATAAATTTCACACCTTCAATTTGATGAGGTCGCAAAACCTTGGCGAGTCGAGGATCAATTACAACCGGGACCTTGGGTCGTTCGCCTTCCACAACCTTCTTTATGCCTAATATCTCCGCCAAACTTTTATGTGCCAGTGGTGCATCTAGCTTTAGTATGGGTTTTTCGGGTTCGTCGTCCTTCTTTGCTTCATTTTGTTCGTTTTCTTTCTTGGCCTCTTCCTCTTTTTTGGCCTGTTGAATACTCCTCGGCTTCTCGTCAATCGTAGGGTCATAGAGAACAATCGCAAACTCGCCGCTAGGATCATGTAAAGCCTTTGCAATAAACACCGCACCCTGCCTCAATCCGAGTGTTGGCGGCGGTCGATTAGGATTATATCCTCCTCCATCTTTATTTATTAGTGGCACTGAAAACCGTTTCCTAAACATGCTATCTTTATCCTTGACCTGGAAAACAGGAAACTTATTCGCATCTCTATTCGCAAGAGCCAATCGATCCTCATTCGTCCAAGGTTTGTCTTCACCATCTTCTTGCTCGCCATCTGCACCTCCATAGTCGACCTTCCGCCTTTTCCGAGCGGGCTTCACGGAGGCTCGAGTAATTGTTGCTGAACCGGGACATCGGAATGGTTTGACTAGTTTGTCAACAGATTGAGGGGTTCCGCCATATAATCGACCTCTCTGTGTCGCAGGAGGAGCATTCTCCTTATCTTCCCCTGATGTGATGTGAAAAGGCTGTTTAAGTCGATCCGTCGATTGAGGAGTTCCTACGAGACCAATTCTTTTCTTGCCTGCTAGAGGAATTGGTGTCTGCGCGTTCACACTCTCGTTCTCGCTCGGTGGCGTTATCATTATGTCGTTGATTAAGTGTTTTATGTCTGCGTATCTCGTTACTGTGACACCATCAAATATCTCAAGTGATCGTTGTTTCCGATTGAATTATGATGTTATTAGTTTTTCTTGAATGTGGCGATGGCTGAGAAGCGTCGAGTACTGTGACATCTTGACGCGACGCGAAAACACGTGATTGTGCCTAAAAAATGCGCGGTTGGGTTTCTTCCGATTTGATATTCCCCCTCACCTCTATATTTGCAGACTCCATCGGAGTTCTACAACTATCTTTCGACTTTCTGTTATTAATTCTAAGACAACAATCAATATCGGCGGATCTACTATGTAAAAGTTAAAGAAATACTGCAGCTACAAAGCTCACCGCTTCCGATGGCCAAAGGATTGCCAGTTTGCCAGTTTGCTCCCAGCTAGGTAGAGATATCCATCCATGAGTTCATAACCCGCATTGTAACATCAAACTTGTCATTTGGCTTCCTCTAAGATTATCATCAAAACCATCCATGATAATTCAAGAATCAAAGCACTTCACATCTACATATCATGTTTCGCTAGCTCTTCGGGGTTGAAAATCCTTTACAAAGATTGATGAAAGTGCATCATCGAGGGGCAGAAGGCCGCATGGGCTGCCAGTAATCGAAAGAAAACTACCCGCCACATAGCACTATCATCCATGACACATGTGTAGGACATACTGGCTGTTCTATGACATGTACCACACTCGAAGTGATTTTGAAAGAGGCATATTACTAGCACCATTGGACTTTGATTGCAGTCCTTATGTATAAAGGTTCAACCCAGTCAATCGAGCAGAAAACATTTTGTATTGCAGCAGTGTTCCAATTTTTTCTTTTTCGCGAACATTTCATTGTTTCAAATATTCAGGAACCACGAACAGACCGAGAAAAGTAACTCGAAAGACGATCTAGAATGTTGGCTTGAATATTCATCTCAACTCTTCAATCTCTTATAAGATTGCTTATCCCTATGTCTTCTGTAGCGGAAGACCATAAAGATCAGACCACCCTCCAGGGCCCCTCGAAATGTTTCTGCAACGCTTGGGAATCTTTTGGCCTGTCATCTCTTTTCGTTACGTCAAATGCTTTATTAGAGAGGAACGTCTGGAACGTTAGGGACGAGGTCAACCAGCGTGTTCAAGGGCATAGACTCCTGGCGCTTGTGGATAGGGGGAGTGGGAGGATGGAATCCGCGTGGAAGTGTGGAGGATTGAAGTTAGAATTCTATTGTATTATTCATGATGGATTTTTGTGGGAGAGTGTGCGTGCCACTTTTGTCCTGTTGACATTGCATCAATACATTCCTTACCTAGTTGTTTAATGATTGGTCATCAAAATTAGTTATTGAATATACTGCTGCTAGTAGTAGAAATGTCTATTCTGGCTTGAATTTCAACTATTTGTTAAATGAATTTTACGATCTCTTGGGCAGCAAGTCACTGGTTTGAACACACCAAAAATCTTTGGATAGTCTTCATACAGTTTAAAATCTTTCATGTACTCGAGTATTGAGTTTAGTATTATGCCTACATAGTTTTCACCCGGGCTCGGCAAAGCTGTTATTCCGCCCCGGGAAGTTATTACCCCACTGAGAATAACCCCGCCAACCTACATATCCGGTCATTTTCTTTAACCCCAGGGTTTTAAAAGAGCATATGTAGAGAGTGCAGAGGGATTAGAGGACTTGAGTTGTTTGCAAATCCACAGCGTTTCAGGGAGAATTTCTTTGCTCCGGAGTTCATGAGCATACGTTTTGCTATACCATATCGCCAACCATGATAGCTAGCTTTTGGTCATAGATAAGTCCAGATCGTTAAGCGGAGGAACAGTAGTATACTGTAGATCCGGCGGTGAGAGTCACACAAAGGGCATAAGGGGACAAAACGGGATATTATCAAAAAGAAGAAAGCTAGTGTCTACGTAAGCTTGATCCTCCGAATTAAATCAACATACCATTCAATCCATTGGTCCGAGGCATGATCCCACGATAACGACAGCTTCCTAAACACCCTCAACAGCCAGCCAGATCAAAAAATGTCCGCCGATTTCTGGGCTGGCTATATCAGCGGTGCTATCAGCATTATCATCGGCAATCCTCTCGATCTTCTCAAAGTTCGCCTTCAAGCTTCGAGTCCATCACGTGGCCATGGTGTCTCTCAAAATCTCACCACTACCACTGCTGTCCCACCCACCACAGCTTTCCCAACCCCTAGCTCCCTCATTCGTGGAACCGCCGCCCCCATTCTTGCAACCGGTGCTCTCAACGCCCTTCTCTTTGTGACATATAACCGGACCCTCACTCTTCTCCACCCCGCATACACCCCCAACCATCCAGAATCAATACCTCTAGTCTCTACCTTCCTCGCCGGCACCATTGGCGGTCTCTGCTCCTCCATCGTCTCAACCCCCACCGAATTGATAAAATGCCGCGCCCAACTTTCCACTCCTCCTCTCTCCTCCTTAGCCATTGCACGCTCCATTATATCTACCACCGGAGTTCGCGGTTTGTATTTTGGAGGCGTGGTTACGGCGCTGAGGGATAGTGTGGGGTATGGATTTTATTTCTGGAGTTATGAATTATCTTCTCGTCTTTATTCTGCTTACCTTCTCTCTCCATCTTCAACCTCACCAGATATGGAGAACACTACGAGTTCTCGAGATGAGGCGATCAAGATTCTCCTCTGTGGAGGTGTAGCTGGTGTTATAACATGGGCTAGTGTTTTTCCGCTTGATGTTGTGAAGACACGACTTCAAGCTCAGATCCTCTCTCCCTCAATATTACCTTCGGAAGCATCATCTCTCCTAAGTTGTCCACCACAAAAACAAAAAGGAGCGCTCGAAATAGCAAAACTTGCATATCGCAACGAAGGCATGGGTGTATTTTTCAGGGGACTCGGTGTATGTAGTCTTAGAGCTTTCATTGTGAATGCAGCGCAGTGGGCGGCGTATGAGTGGATTATGAGAGAATTGGGGGCGAAGGGAGGAAGCGATGTTGGTATTAAGAATAGAGTGAAAAGTGAGATTTTGATTTAGAGGGTGATGTTTGGCTTGAAATTCACGAGTGGCTGGGGACTGAAGTAGAGGGTGTATACATAGAGGAGGTGGAAGCAGAAGGTCAGTAGACCATGCTGTTAAAGACTATAGATTTAGACTAGGAGCTAGATGTATAATTCAAAAGTAGACGCGATGCTATTTAGAACATATTCGGTCTAGATTATTCGCTAATTTTAGCATTAGCTACTGCTTTTTACCTATTTGTTAATTGATATTCTAACTTAATTTGGGAACCCTAAGTTATATGATATTAGTACTCAAAGTCGATCGTAATCTAAAAGCTGAAGAAGAAAGTTGTATGATGTTTTCATTTTCTTAAATTACGAAGTAAATATCTAACTCTCCGTTACATCTAAAAATCCCCTGCCAGTAACGCCTTTTTGATTCTATTATTGAAACGAAAGAGAAAAACAAAGAAAGGTCCCTAACATGAAGATCCATCATGAGCCAACTCTCTGACCGATTCTGATTGCATATGTTTTGGCGACTTCGACAATTCCACCTGGTAAGTATGATCTGTGCGAATCCCATGCGCAGCATCTAGATCCGAACTGTGCTCGGAATTGCCATCGTGCAGTCTGCTCCAATCTCCATCTCCATGTGCGTGCACGGTGGCGAATGTCGTGCCGGTGTCGGTAGGGTTGTGGAAGACTCGAGCTTTGGAATTCTGTCGGCCACTGATCGGTGCGCTACCAAATGTCACGATATCTTTGGGACCACGCGGCTTCGAGCTGGCGCCTTTCTTGCTGTTGCGATGAAGAAATCGTCCGACTGCAGGGATTGAGCTCGCTACGCAGCCAATGGCGGTTTCTATATTGGATAGGAGAACAATGAATCCAGTGTAATCTAGAGAGGTGTAAGTGCTGTTGTCACTGAAGCAATAATGCAGATTAACTTACAGAGTAAGTTATCTGTGGGGTTCCAATAGTGTTCGATGTACGGTGCTCGGATCATAGTGGATATTGAAGCACTAGTTGAAACAATCTGGTTAGGTACGTCAAATAAGTAGAGGATGGGGGATGAGCTTACACAGAAGCAAAGGACAAAAGCAAGCCCACAGATATCTTCCTGCTCAATGGCATCTGCGTCCTATACAGCATCACACCAGGAAATACCGCGCAAGCCATGTCGGTCAAGATGGTAGAGGCTGTCGAGGTATAACTCAATGCAATCATTGAGCTCATGCCCGAACATGTTCCTTTTCCTTCCGCTATCAGTGACGTATCCCAGTTTGCAGCCACAGGTCTACACAGAAGTAGGATTCCGATCAGAGTCACCAAGAAAGTGGAAATAGTGAGGCCAAGCAAGCCCAATACAAATAGCCGGTATATTCTCTGCGCGCTGGCGATACGCAAGAGAGTCACGCAGATGGAGCTTTTGATAATTAACAGTCCTACGACGTAGATCATCATCCAGAGCATTAGGTATTTCGTGCCTTGTACCGCGAAGTAAGTATTGAGTCTGTCGTTGTGTGAACCGAGACCGACTCGCGTGCCCTGACAAGCCAGGCCGACATCGATGCCGAAAACGATCTAGCAAAGATTAATCTCAGTCGCGTATTGTGGCGCTGGAGGAAAGACTGTACCAATCCAAGTAATATCAACTTATCGTCCCAACCAAATACTTTCTCATGAATTCGGACATATGTTCTCAATGCTACAGTGATTGCTGAGATAGAAAAACAGACGATTGATACGACGAATATTATTAGAGGGAAGCCTTCAAGAGGAAGAATAGTGGCGTCAACGTCAGCCATTCTGCGTCGAGTCGAAGTTAGTTTGTAGAGTAGCGTATTATTTGCGAAGAGATGTGTTGTTGAATCCGTAGACAACGATATAACGGATTTCTTTAAAGTCTGAAGGCGTACCACGAGAGCAGAGACAGGCAGGCCCCTGGCTCTTTTTACCCCATGGTCTCGGCCTGGGTACTGAAATGTTGCCGGTTTACGAAAGTTTCTCGTCTATTCCCACCCTGCTCGTGAGATTTGTTTGCTCGCAATAGGGACAACTTACCAACGATTGATAGTCGTGAGATAGGAGATTTCCGTGAGAATCAATTTACTTTCGGAGCTGTTCCGAATAGTAAGCTAAGGGCCCCATATATCCACTTCCCATCCCTCGAACTCGAGGAATATGAATTGGGATCTCAAGCTGATACAGCTGGCTGAACAGAGCTAGTCGATGATGATCACAAAGATCTGATTAGCTAGGAGGGGTTCGTTAAGCCCTGAGAGCCTCAAGGTATATTGGAAGGAAGTGAAACAAAGGGCTCCGGTAAATTAATAAACGGTTCTAAAGGGATTTGGTAATGGATTTTGTAGCTATGAGTAGTCGGATACCCTGATTTGGATTATTGGGCCAAGTGATGGTGATATCGCTATAGGAAAGGATGTCTATATGAATCTAATGAGTGAAATATTCTTACGACGGGCTAAAAGATTTGATTTCACCGAACAGTTTTATGTCCGTAAAGTATCCTGGTCCGCCACTGATATGAAGGCTAGATTTTGATCTTCACTGGTATTGTTGGTGTCAAATAATTAGATCTGCTATTTGGTATTATAACCAATCATATTGATATTAATGATAAATGCGCAAATGAACTAGTAGCAGTTAATAGCTATTTGGTAATTAATTAGTCATATCAGGAAGTTCACTAATTAACTGCGAAATAGCCTTCACTAACAATTAGACATCTTCTAGTAGTGATATACTACTATTGCTTTGATTGGTTGAATGTCGTTTGCTTAGCGGGACAAAATATTTTTCGGATATAGGATCCCGCAGCTTCTGTGTCCAATATATCAAATGCTGTCAGGTGGAGTATATCCAAGCGCGTATAGACGAGAATTTCACGAATTCAGAAGTCTAAGTTAGCCTGAGAGGGTTAATCAAGTAGATGACTCCAATATCTCATATGTAGATCTGTCTATAGAAAGTAAGTTAATGCTCTGAGGTATATACGAGGATTTCGAATAGTTTAGTCGAAAGTTAATGATACTAGGAATTAGAAGTACTCCAGATGATATATCAACTCTGTTTCTTATAGTCGTATCGAAGTAGTTTTGATTTAGATTTAATTTGAGTAACAATAAAATTCCTCAAAATATATCACAGAGTATTTTTGCTTGGATTGACTGTTAATACTCCCAAGTTTTTTATCTAGATATTGCTTCTAATTCCCAGCGTATTAATCAACCTTACTTAATTGAGCCAATCATGGAAATGAAAATGAAAATGAAAATGAAAATAGCTAGATGTCTCGTCTCTAGTCTATAACACCATATTTACCAGGAAGTTATCTTCCGCCCCTTCTCGGGCTCCACTTGCCCCACCAGTCTTCGACCAACGTCCAAAGTCAGTCTAGCTCAGCTCAATGCAGAATTTCCTCCTTCGCGCTTAGTGGACCTCAACCCACTTATTTGTTGTCCCTCTTTGGACTACCGCAAAAGCACCGTTTACCGGGAGTGGTTCTGATTGAATGGGGTTGGACAAACCAGTCTGCAATTTATCAATGTTATCGGGTATCTAAGGTCTGTGGTGAACTATTTATTATGATCCATTTTGTCACTAGTAATGCCAATAGTTTAACAAGACCTCAATCTTGATTGCAGGCGTATACTTTGTATGTATAAAATGAAGGTTCAAGATGAGCTCGAAAATACTTCTATGCAGATTGGCAACATGCTCAGGGAATATTCGAATGTATTTTGCCCGATTTTTTAGCGCAGCCTGCATTTCTTCAAGGATGTTCAAACGAGAAGTGGATTGACGTCGGCGAACTTATGTTCAATGAATTCCCAATTAGAAATTCCCATTCAGAGTATTTGTGTGGAACTTTAAAGTTCGACGGTTACAGCCCCGGTCACTTGACTCGGTTGACTGGGGTTTCGTACATGGTCTTTCTCAAGACTTCCCGAGAACCCTCTTCGTTTGTGGACGACTGTGCGGAGGAAGTTCTTTGTGTACCTGGCTCCGACCTTCCATGTCCCCGGTCGGAGATGATTTCCTAAAACTCACAAACGCATTTTTGGGTTGATTAAATCCGCCATCTAATGGCCTCTTTGGTAACTGTGCGCCCCACCACTTGTGTGATAACTTGACACGTGCCTGTTACCAAGTATTGGCATGCAAACATGGGGGTTGATGTTTCTCCTCTTATCCTCGCATTCGCCTCGTCTCCTGCAGCTAATTCCAAGAAACCAACAGCTTACCAGCATTAAATCCTCGGAACCAAAGAAAGTCCTAGCGATCTTTTAACAATCAAGATGGGCTCCAACGAACAAGTCACATATACCAACCGAGTTCATGAGGGCAAGGTTGCAATTGTAACGGGTTCAGCACGAAGTACGTCTTGAGAATTGATAACTCCGTTGCATTTTTTGACGTCTTAGCTGACCTTATTGCTAGGCATTGGTGCTGCAATTGCTACAACTCTCGCCTCTAAGGGTGCCAACATCCTGATCAGCTACCTAACCGAAGCCTCAGACAGCGCTGCCGCTGAGCTCGCGGATGAGCTACATAAGAAACATGGCGTAATCGCCGTGCCATGTCGGTCTGACATTTCCACGCCTGAAGGTTGCGCCGCCATCATCGAAGCTTGTGAATCAAAGATGCCTCCGAATGCCATAACTAGCAAGCTGCAAATCGACATTCTGATCAACTGCGCTGCTATTATGATAGGCATTGGTCCCCTTGAAACAATTACGCATGCGGACTTTATCAAGTCGTACGAGACCAACGTGCTAGCCCCAATCTTGCTCACGGCAGCATGCAAGCCACACCTACCTACCGATCGATCAGGAAGAATTGTGAACATTTCCAGCATCGGACAGAAGGTCGGCACTCCATATTTGACGCTTTACAACGGAACAAAGGGTGCGCTTGAAGCTATGACGAGAACTTGGTCAAGAGAATTGGCTGAACATGCCACGGTCAACACTATCAACCCTGGTTCGGTGCTCACGGATATGTTCCGTCAATGTAGCGACGAGGTGCTGGCAGCGCAAGCACAGTGGAGTCCATTGATACCATTGTCGGGTGTACGTGAGTGGGATACCGAAGAAATCAAGGCAGTGGGCAAGAAATGGGGTGGTCGTCCGGCATATGTTGAAGAAATCTCTGGCATTGTTGCTATGGTTTGTAGTCCAGAAAGTGCATGGATGACTGGTAGTGTTGTCAGTGCCAATGGTGGCCAGTGTTTTAGCACGTAGATATTTGGTAGTGGGTAAATGATAATACTTTTCAAATCCAAGTTAATGTTTGTTTTGAGATGAAGCGTTGTGAGTGGTAAGCGTATAAATGACAGATATGTCGCCTATAAGATTTGACTGGTGGCTTTCCTTGCATAAACCGCTACAGTACCGTAGTGCTGCCATTCGTAAACTTAAAATATAACCGAGCAAGTGCTTATTTGAACACCTTCATATATCATGAAGTTTTTTCTTGGTTCTCTTGACCCCTCATAGTTCTTCTCTTCAGCTGTTTCAATTCGCAAGGTCTCGTTTATGAGAGCTACAGTGTAGTCTTCAACCTGCTACCAGAGTTCGGAATTCTTTCCTTTAAAAATAGAAAAACCATTCGTCCATTACCCTCGAACCAACCAAGTTCTGTGAACGGTAACATCTCATGAGGCTTAAGCTAAATTAAAATGCATTTCGACGTTCAGAACGATATTGTACGACGGAAGATACTTATCTTATCAACGATGATTGAGATAGTATGAACTTTATGTGATGTCCTCAAATTCCAAATAATGGGCCCTGAGTGTGATTAATCTCTCGGGAAACCGCACCTCCATCTACTATTTTGCATATAGAGAAAAGACTGTCCGCATAAAAGTTTTGACACTTGGCTTTCAAGAACATTACTACCCCCCTGAAATGAGTATTATTTGCCGGGTCTATGTTACATGATACCCCTCTCCTACTGTCCTGTCCCTTCTATCACCCTTTGCCAATGTACTAAGTAGACCGGTTACTTTGCCCACTTTTCAGGGCAGGATCGTTAATTAACTGAGTATTTATGTCTTATGCTCGCGCACCACCGGCGTCGCCTCTTTGGAATATTGCATTGAACTCGTGCAATTTGGTACCCATGCGATATCCTGCCACAGCCACTATAATAAGCTGAGTGTGGCCAGTATATGGGTTGTTAGAAGTGGGTGTATATGGAACAGGGTGATCATTGTCTGCAAGGTAGCGTTGGATGCGATATGCATATAGGGATGTAGATGTGAATGATGGATTGATGGTGGTGGAGTGGACTGAGGAAGATTCAAGTGAAATGGAAGAGGGTGTGTGATTTGTACTGGATGTATAGGTGATATTAGGTTATGATCATGTATCAAGAAGTACTACTTTTAGGAAGCGAAGGTGGTGTAGTGGGTTGTACAAGTAAATATATGAAGCGAGTCTATCAAAAGAGAGAAGCAGGAGTCAGATGTCAAATGTTTAAGAAGAGGAACACATGCAGAAGATAGAGGTACAATGGAATTGAAGGAGACGACCTTGAAAAGATGGAAAGAAAGATGGAAAGAAAGAGAAAAAAAATAGAGGAGATAAAAATAGACTAGTGTCAATAACACTTGAACTCAAGACACCGGTGCAGAACAAGTGAGAAGGACAAAAATGAAGCCAGGAGCCCACAACTGAGCTCACCTTGTGAATATGGCCATCTATGACAAGTGTAAAGTTTCCAAGTCTGAAATCTCGAACTGATGCATACAATTGATAAAATAAGAAGAGACAACGGGAGAGTTTGAACTAACTCAGAGGTAACAGAGCCATGTACGGCCATATTGGAGACCTTGCTAATAGTTGACATGTTGATCCTGCTGTATGGGATAGCTGGTAGCTTATTACTTTTGTATTGGTTTGTATTGGTCTGTAGGCGGGTCGATTGGTAGGTATAAAAGCGATTGCATTTCAGGTTGATATCCAAAGATCAAGTTTGAGGTGCTTGTCAAGAAACAAAAAGATGTGAGAGTGCAGATATGATATGCGGGAACATCTTGAATTTATAGAAAAAGTTCCGTATGCAATCGCTACGGCTGAGATGAACTGCATGCTATTGGCCGCGAAGTGAGTTCATGGACATCCCCTTGGGTTCACATGTTCGTTGTTGTTCCCATTCAGAAAACGAACTTGGCAGCCTCGTTTGTAAAAGTATCTCAATGCAATTTTACAGGCAAAAGGGACATATGTTGGAACTTTCTAACACCAAAGCCACCATATCCAATCATTCTCGTCAATCAGCCTACCGGGACACATGTTGTATTACTTCCATGTCCAAACTACGCCCCAGTCCTTGGACCCGCGGATGTTGTGAGAGGTAGCCGCTGCTGATCCAATCCAGAAGGTACGCTCATCCATCTCGTCAGTCCCATCTCTCCGGATAGCAATATGCATCGTTCCGATTCGTTCGATTCGGATAGATAATACAACACCCGGCACATCTAAAAGTCAAAATGAGCTCACTGATCTATGTCAACGGATGGCTTCTTTGCGTTCTTTGTACTCGAGTAAGGCCCGGTTCAAGGCACAGCATCACAACCGACGTGGTTGGTTGTAGAACCTTCCAAGGACTCAGTATTGGGCTGGAATTGATGATTTTATTAGAGTTTCCCCTCGTCATATCAAATACATATAACATTCGAGATAAAAGAAATTGCAGATTCGGTACCTAAACTTCTTTAACCATTATCCATATTGGCAATTTTCTTCCAATTTGACCTTACAAGAATATGTATTATATTTTTGAGTAATGTAACAATTTCCATACATTTCTTTTTGGATTTAGGAGTTCCAAGAAATCTTTTCTTTTTTGATAGAATTTATATTCTTGACACTCGTCCGGGTAGGCTTTCAGATGTGATGATACATCTTTTTATCTCAATCTCAAAATAATTATTTTGATAATAAAGTTATTTCAATATTGAAAAATATCTGAAATAATTCTAATAATTAAATAATTCAATTAATTATATTAAATCTTTTTT